AGTTTCTTCCCTCGAGCGAAAAGGATTCATTCACAATCCGCCAAACAGCAAGTGATCATTTACTGTCAATCACCATTTACCTTTATATAACCATTATAGAAGTCCTTCTGAACAACCAATATGCAGTTCTTCACCACCCTCCTCCTTTTGGTGCCATTTGTGCTCGCTGCACCAGGTGATGATCTCGTAAGTTAGGGGAGCATTATCAACGTCGGGGTATGAATGTTGGGCGAAAGTCTCTAATTTAGAACAGGGCACCCGTCACCGTGATGCCAGCTGCACTGCTTCATCAACTCTGCACCTCATTGAGGGCGAATGTACCACCGCTAGCGGCGCTCTGTACGTTCTGGTCTCCGTTATGTGTTTAATCAAGCAACCAGAACCTCCTACTAATAACCACTAGATCCATCAACTTCCTCAAGAACACTGACTGTGACCTTCATGTGTAAGTGACTGGCCTGATCCGCTAAGCGCGAGGATTAGGCGTGTTCTAACATCTTGCGTCTTGTAGGACCACCGACTGCTCTGACACTCCAGACCACCGAACTCTGGAGCAGGGATGCCGTACCTTCATGCCAGGTGACGAGAAGTACATGGCCATCAAGTGCGCTGCCCAGGCGTAAAGGTTAAACCATCAAGGAACAGAAGCTCATCTAACTAGATGCGCCTTTGTATCTGTTAGAAATGGTTAATAGTCAAATCCAGTACATCAATTTAATGAATATAAACCAATTGCATCCGTAGCCATGACTAAACTCGATTCTATCACACCAACTTCAAATATTCTGCCTTGGTTCCCTTGTATGATAGGAGAGAATGGTCTGCCATAACGGTACTTGACTAAAATTGGGGGTATAATTGTCGGTACACCAGTTTGAAGGTATGCTGCTTGAAGCTCCCGCTCGGTGAAATTCCACTCCGCTTCCGTTACATGATATATTCATCGTCTGGCTTGTTTTGCAGGAAAAGGGTTGGATATATCCGGGGTTGGCTGAGAAGGAGAAAGGGAAAATAAGTGACTGATAAAAAGATTTCATGACCTCATCGGGGAGATAAGTTAAAGTTCTTGCTCTAATAACCACGCGGATACTATAAACCTCACTAAGGAGGCTACGGTGTCAGTGAACTTGGTGGCACCCATTACCACGGATTGTCTCTCAATTTCCAAGTATGGGAATAAGGAGCGTCTTGAGATGCAGAGAATGGTGCAGGCACAAGGAGCTGATGTTTGTAAGCAGAATTCAGTCAGGCGTGAAGTAACACACTGCGTTGCTGGGTATCAGGGGTATCAAGTGCTAGAAAGATCAAATCTATTAGGTGTATTAAAGATTCTCCAGGTCAGGGTGAATAAGGGGGATATTACGAACCTACGGCATAATAAAAAGCAAAAGCGGAGTTTTAATAGAGCAAGCAGCTCGTTTTCACAAAGACATGTCATTGCTACTATCTGCATCTGTTAGACTTGGAGTGCAGCACTATAAAAATAAGCGTAGAAAAACCTCCTACACACACAAGGCAACCAAGCAAAACCGGCTCTCCATTCGCGGCATCTCCCATTATCGATAAAGTTCATATTCATACTAAGGTCTTCAAAGCTCAGTCAGCATGTGTTGTGGTGTTCTGCTTCTGCTGCGTGTTCAGCCATCCAAAGGCAGATGCTCCGCCGATTGGATTGTTGCTTGGTCTGGACTTCCCAGGCCATGGGGTGCTGGAATGACTGCCTCCGTGGCTCGAAATATCTCCGTTCTCGCCGCTGGCTGATCTTTTTTGTCTGCTAGCGGAAGGGGTGTCGCTGGACGTGCGGTCGGCGATGGAAAGCTGAGCCATGCCTGTGGGGACATTGGCTGTGTTGGACCGGGTCAACGTCTTGGTCGGCTTTAACACTTTCATGTTACGTCTGGCGGCAGGGCGTTGGGAGACAGCAACGTAAGATGCTGGTTGGTCTGGCTTGGTGGAGGATGATGTGGTGGGAGCTGCATCACGTCTCCACGAGCCCCAGTGTCCGCTTCCTTCATCACTCTTGGTGCTCGGCCTACCATGCGACTTCTCGCTGGTGGCAGACTTGGGATTAGCCATGTCAAGGCTGTTATCCTCTGAGTCACTGATAGCCTGAGACGAACGGTCCTTATCATGGTTGGCCAACGCCTCAGATGAGGTTTTCAGGGATAGTGCAGATTTCGATGGCTGCGGTTGGTTGTGGCCGGGTCCGAGACGGCCGATAACGCCAGCAGATTGTTCTGTAAGGGTGTCGTCGATGTCCAGTGTGCTGTGGTCCTTCTCTATAGGCTTTTGCTGGGGATTCTGGGACAATGATTTCCTGGGCATGGTGGTCAGGCTCCGGAACGATTCGTGGTCCTCGGGGCGAACCAGCGGAATAGAAATTCTATTTCTAGCATCATCAACAACGAACATCTTATCTTGGGAAAAGAGGATATCAGCGTTGTGAGTCCGAAGGACATCACTCCCTATGAAAATCGAGATAGCTTTTTGGTCTTCCTGGTCTATGTCACGGACAAAGAATCGAACAGTCAAAGCCGGAAGATGGGGTTCCGGGCTAGAACTGCGCGAAGAAGATTGGCAAACACTGGCCTCTGGGAAATACACAGGTAGTTTGATGGTGCGTGCACCATCTTCCTCTATGATATCGCCCTCGAGACCAAGCTTTTGTATCAACGGAGAAGCCACTGCAGACGAGTAAGCACCGGTGCAAATTGCAGCATAAAGCAAGGAATCGTTAGAAAAGCTGGTTGTGAGCCAGCATCTAATGATGCAAGGAACAGGGCCAAGGATAAAGAGGCCAGGAGGAGGTCCGAGAGGAGGATGTTGGCTAGCAGGAGTCGTGGTGGAAGAACTTTCTATCCTAGACGTCTCCAAACTATATGTGCGGGCGGAGTGGTGTGAATGACCAGACGAGCTCTGTCTCCCGTCTGATCGATGAGAGTAGGACCGCTCTGTGAGTGGATGGGCTCCCATTCCACTCCCAGTACGGGCCGGTGCAAGCTCAGCCGCAGAACGGTTTCCATGGCTGTTATAAGCATGGATTGCGCTCTCGTCGAAACGCACGCTATTCGCTCTGGAAGCACCGCGCCTAGGCTCATCCTCGTGGTCCATATGGATATGAGTGCCTAGCCCATGGTGAGCCTGGTCAAACCCTTTGAAAGGCTCGGCCGTAGCATTGAAGACAACATCTATACGCAATCCAAAATGTCAGCAATATTCAAATTGGCTTTTTAAGGCAGACGGTGTATGAGAGCAGAGACTTACCATGGCTCCCGTGGCCAGTGCTTGAAGGAATGGGTGAAAACGGGCTCCAGAGACTTTTCATCTTAGCATCCTCTTCCTTCCTTCGTTCAAGCTTGGCCAGCCGTTCTGAGTGCTCTGCCTGCGTGGCGCACAGGTCCTTCACTTCTTCGTGGACACGCCAGATATCTTCTCTTGTAGCAAAGGGATATTGAGCATCCATTTCCTGCCAAAGACACCACCTCCGTCTATCACCGCCGTCACGTTCGGACCCAAAGTTTCTGTCACAGGCAGTGTGGCGTCAAAGGTCGAGGAATGAATATAGGCTGGCCAACCTACAGCAACCATCCGGGATGCGCGTATGACGCGCAATGTAACAAGGCGGATGACACGGATTTCTCTCTTCCCTGGGAGCAGCGGGTATAGCAACTACGCTGCACGATTCCAATACTGGCAGCGGACCATAGACCTCAGTATACCGTTCTAAAGACAATGAAGCCTTTAGACCCCCTCTCTACCTCACCAGACAAGTCCGAAGTTGATGTTTCCCAGGCCTCAAGAAGATGCCGGCGATGTCGCAGCCAAGGACGGTGTATTCGCTCGGGATTTCAGCCTGATGGCGGGACAGCCCACCGGGGCCAATATGCGTCTTCTCCAAGTCGTGTAGCCACACGCCGGTTGTCTACTTTGTCTGCAAAGGCTGGTTCGTGTTCGTGCGAAGCGGAAGGGTCAGCGGCCGCCGGAAGTGTTCAGTGAGCCGCAGAATATGGCACCAAAGTAGCGAATAGTCACAGCTGGAGACGTCTACCAGTCCCTTTGAGTCCTTTGGGCCCTTTGTAGGGTGTATTTGTGTCGCGCTAAGTGTTCGATCAGACAGGCTGATGCTGGCCGAGTGAAGCCCCTCGGGGAAGAGCTGCGCTGTGGCGACAGTGGCAGATAAACGGCGAAACTCGATGATGAGGCGACTAGACGGCGGATAGAGGTGAACAGTTATGAGATGTTCGTTATACTGGCAGCTGGGCGCAGAGGTCGAACGGGAGGAGAGCTGAGCTGGTTGTTCGGGGGAGCGTTGGAAGCGGTTGGTTGTTGAAGGCGCTTTCAAGGGGTCCTTTTGGCCGGCTAAGTATTTCGCTGATGACCAGAGCTTAGTGTAACAGGGAGAGTGTGACTGAGAGGCGGTGCAAGGTCAGGCTGTGTCTCTAGTTCTTGTTCAACGAGGATCTTTTTCGTCAGTAGAAGCGTCGCTGGTCGAGTTGTTGGTGGCGGTTGTTTGGCAGAAGCAGCGGATGAAGTTGGTGAAGTCTTGATAAAAGCCAACTTTCTTAACTAACTGCTTGCTAGCCGGATAGCGAACTATTCATGGGAACGCCGCAGCAGATAACTACAGCATAAGCAGGCTGCTTGACCTTACGACGAAGACATTCACTGCTTTTCGCTCCTTCACGTCCTGCCCAGGCCCTCTTCGGCAGGATTTATGTGAGTCTTTGGCTGGCTTAACTGCTGGTCAGGGGGAGATACGGCCGGCCAAACCGCTGCATTGCTAGGCATATTTACATTATTATATTTATTTGAAACCGGCACAAACAAGCTCGGCATCCGATTAAATGTTTCAGGGCAAGGACCTTGCTTGCGGAGGGCTGCAGACTCCCAAACTTCAAAGAAAGAGGCATGTTGCTTATGTGTTTGTTATGTGCGGAATGGTGAAGTTAACTACTTGGTTATGGAGTTAACTATAGTTACGAGAAGCCGAACCCAGCTCGTTATGCGTCTTCGGCAAACTGGTACGGCGGGAAATGGACAGGCTGCCTCTCGGGAGCTTCTTCAGGGTAGGTCTCTCGGATGGCTCTGAGGACCTCGTCGTACATGACTTTGTATCCGTCTCCGGAGAAATGGAGGCCTAGAGGAGGTTCATATTAGCATAGGAGGAGGAGGAGGAGGCAACTACCAAGAGATTTAGAGAATCGGCTGGACTGACCGTCAACGAGCAAGGAGGCAAGCTTGGGGTTCTCTGGGATCTCCTTTGATCCAGCAATTGGCTGGCCTTGGACCCAGCCGGCCTCTCTCATAAATGCGGACCAGATATCTGCAATAGCTACGTGGAGAGACTTGCCGACTTCACGGCAGGCATCGGCGTACAGCTTGGTATTGTTGGCCGAGCGAGACAAGGGGGTGACTCCCTTGGACAAGTCAAATGCCGTGAGTTGATACTCGTTCACAGGTGGCGGAGTGAGAAGGACAACCTTTGTGTCTCCATATCGGACTACAGGGTGCTGGATGATGGCCTTGAGGTTTTGTACGTATTTCTCCAGGGGAACGTACTGGTCTCCCGGCGGCAGGACAGCATCGTTCGCGCCGAAAAACACGGTCTATCCAGGTTTTAGCCCAGTCTACACAGCAGAGATAGAATCGAGAGGGCCATATCTACCATCATGCGGACTTTGGCTACATGTGGCGGCGGGAAGAACTGGGGCAGCACATTCAGCCCCTGAGAGGACGTATATCCGCTGTGTACACCAAAGCACGTAAGCTAACTAGATGGACGAGTAGAAGCTGTAGTAGATCCTCCTTTCGTACCTAAAACCACGGTTAAGGACGTCTAGCTTTCGCACATAGTCTGTTCACCGTCAGAGTCATTTGTGCATAGCAGATACGAAGACAACGAGACTGACCATCTTGCATCTGCGGTGAAAAGGCAAACCCACGGCCCTGGTATGCTGAGAACTGGGTGATCGAATCTCCGAAGAGGAGAATTTGGTCGTAGGGAATATACGACTTCGCCTGGACGTAGCCCTGGGCGAGGGACATTTCGGAAGTCATGACAAGGCCCAGTATCAAGAGGAGACGTAGAAAGCCCGCCGAAGTCGACTATCAGCAGTTATAGACTTAGATGCTCTGGTATATGGATGTATGTATGTTTAGGGCAGTTTTAATTCATCAACACACGAAACAGGGCAGCGCAAAGAGACTGGACAGGATCCAAGCATGACAGAGAGCGAGTGGCAAGTGGTATTGTCACTTATATGTTTGGTGAGCCAGAAGACGGGAAAAAGGGGCTGACTGGCATCGCATCACTCGACTGCAACCCGTGGATATTTTTGGGCCAAATTTGAACATGAAAGGCATGGACAAGATAAGAGATGAAAAAGGAACGAAGGCGACTTTTGCTCTGGCAGACTAGGTTGGCGGGTTAAATAAAGTCCGCCAGGGACAGTTGATAGATCAGGGGACTTGTATCTGTACTCTAAAGTTGTGGCGAGGTGGTACAAAGAAGAGAGCACGCCTACCTGGACACTAGAACTATACAGCATTTTTGACGAGTACGTAGAGGATGGTCAGGTAGAATAAGAAGGGGATGACTATGTTCAAAGGTAGGAGTTATCTTCAGTTATTATAGACTTGATATATGCATTTCTGTGGGGGGCCATCCAGGAGATCCAAGTAGTGAGATATCAGGATAATGCGCAATATATACCCCGTTCTGTGGGAGGACGAAGACCAAGTTCCCCTTCCTTGCCATGAGGTGGTATATAGAAAACTACCCAGGGCTAGACTACACTGCCGTGTAACGCGTCACACCCTTCGCCCCCCTCAGAGGAGAGAGCAGTAGACTTAACACAGAGCAGCACAGTTGGATGCGTCCCCTCCTTGACCCCCAACCGAAGGAGGTGCAGTCCCTCGAGGCCCGTTCTACCACCTCCCCGGAGCACACTTCCATGCCTCGGTGAGCAAGAAACAAGAGTGTGACCAAGAATGCCTTTGTTCGGATGCAGCGGCTCAACGCAACGTCGTATCGAAGCAAGGTGGAAAGACCGCATCTTCCAACAGCTAAATTAACTATAGCTCTCCATCCATCGTCAAGCCGATGAGTAGGCCCGTTAGACGTTGCCGAGGAACCCCGTTTCGAGGGAGATAAGGTAGATTAACAGTGCTACCCGTGTTGGCGGCGTCTAGTTCTAGACCAGCCCGTGCCCGTCAAGCCATATGATGGGAAGCATGGTAAACTATCGAAAGGGTGAGTCACCCCCCGAAATGCTTGTTAGCATGGCCCTGCCAGCAAGATATCAGATCCGAGAATATCAGCAGGGCCACCTGCATGATGATCGACACGGCTCCCTGTTCCAGCGGCGGGGTATATTGATTGCGATACCCTGGGACTGTCCAGGTTTGTATCTTTCCCCAGACTTTCCTGTCTGGCGTGCTGCATATCATCCCATGCGTCTGATCGAGTCGACATTCTCCTCTGGTAACTTCAAAGGACACGCCAACGCAACAACTCAGACTTTTTTGGCCCTTGCTGGTTGCACGAGATCAAGCAGCATCCTTGCTCGTTGGGACGGAGCACCGTGTCCGTCCTGTAGTATCTTGTAGCATCCTTAACATTGTCTCTTATCCAGAGGTGATATGCTTGATATCGCCTCAGTCGAGTGTTCGCCAGACAGAGCATCCCCCTACCGCCTTGAACGCAGCTCTACTCCGTAGACACGGTGGAAACCGAGCGAGGTATATATGTCCCATCCGTCGACCTGTCTCGAAAATCAGCCGGTTGGCTTCTCAACGCTCGCTGGTCCCAAGGCTTAACTATAGCTAACTAGCTGCCTGCACTAAGAGCCCTGCCCGCCCGGCTTCGTCTCAGCCCGTGGTCCGCGGCCCAACCTGCGCCCCGGACACTCTCCCGTGTACTTTCACGCGGCGCGCACGCTCTCCCATCCCGTCCGTAGTATTTCCGTAGACTTTTCTCTCAAGTGCTGCCTGTGTGATGTCTTATGCCGTCCTTTGCTGTTCTGTCGCTTCGAAGAGAGCGAGACGTCAAAAAAGAAAAGAAACCTCCCACGTGACCGGGATCTTCCCGCGGTATCGAAACATCTTTGGATCTTCTTGTTCGCCTTATTTTGCTCCATCTCGTTTAACAGTCTTGCCGCTGTTGGGCCAAAGGGGTTCGCTGCCGGTCAGATGATGCTGCTGTCGACTTGCATGCACCCCGGCTGATCCCTTTTTTGCGCTCGCTGTCGTCACTCGCTGTCTCCTGGTGGCTGGAAAGTTGCTTCATGGATTGAGATCTGTAAGTACGGAGTACCGCTACGAAGCATAAACACCAATATATCGAAGCTTTGCATAGACTACCCCGTACTCCGAGCATCATTGGGTGGCTGCAGACCGTCGGTCATGTCATATCCCAAAATATGGTCGGGAAAGGGGGGTTTCAGGCCGTATTTTCGAGGTGTCTCTGCTCGTTGATCGTCTGATGAATACTCATCTGACTGAGCCGCCTGGTCCCATGAACTTCCTCTGGGCCCTCAAAAATAATATATTGAGCTTTTGCTGACGGATTCCTCCCATATTTCTCCCCTATAGGACCCTCGCTCCCTAGTCGTACGCACGTGTATACGGTTTTTCTTTTTCTTTTTCTTTCTAACACCCGCTTGGGAGAGCCCCGAGTTAGCTGAGTTATGGTTCGCGCTGTGCCATCACGCTCGATGACGGACGAAGGCGGTAGCGCTGGTGGTGGTGACGGCGATAACCCTGGCTCGAGAACGGTGCCAGTAACATCTCCCCCTTCGCCGACGGTCTCCCGGCACGATAGCACCCCTCGTCTCCCCGAGATCCGATTCAGCATCCAGCGAAGGCCTACAGCTACAGCGGCAGTAGGAGGAGATATGGACGAAAGGACGAGCTTACTGGACGCTGGCAGCCAGTTCCAGCGAAGTTACAGCACCAATCCTGCCTCCCCTCGTCCGGATGCCTTCTTCAGGCACAACAGTACCGCCGGCAGCTTGCGTATGTCCAAGAGTCACAGCCGTGCAAATTCGCAGGTTGTGAGGTTTACTCCTTCGAACAGAGCTGCAGAGTTTGTACCTGCAGAGGCAGACGACGAACCAACGAAACCGTTGAACGCTGCTCCTTACTCCGACGATAGAGTCTGGTACGACCAGTTCACCTCTACGGACTGGGTTCACGACACCATTGCCGATGGCATACGACTGAGAGAGCTACGGAGTCGACGTGATATCCGTGGAAAGCTGCTCGCCTGGGTTGATGGAGCCCAGGGATGGGTTCTGGTCGCCATAATCGGCCTTCTTACGGCGTGTGTCGCATACTTTGTTGATGTTACCGAGATCGTCATCTACGACTTGAAGGAAGGGTTCTGCAGCAACAACTGGTTCATGAGTAAGAAGCATTGCTGTCCTTCAGACAAGGAGATCTGTCTCGCATGGCGTTCATGGTCCGAAATACTTGAATCGTCTACCATCGACCGCAAGTGGATCGACTTTGGTGCCTTCGTCTTCTGGGCCGTCCTGCTAGCTGCTGCTTCTTGTACCCTTACGCTCCTCACCAAGACCGTCGTCCCCTCTTCCATTTCTCTCACCACCTTGGATGAAGATTTTGGTGCGGTAGGCAGTGCCTCGCCGGACGAGACCTCTCGTCCCACCAAAACCAACCTTGATGTCCGATCTGTTCAGGATGTCGTGCCGCCGCCCATGGTGTACTACTCTGCAGCTGGTAGTGGTGTTGCCGAGGTCAAAGTCATCCTCTCCGGCTTCATCCTTCACGGGTACCTTGGAGTTCAGACTCTCGTCGTCAAGACGTTAGCCTTGGTTCTAAGTGTTGCCTCCGGTTTGAGTGTTGGAAAGGAGGGGCCTTATGTCCACATAGCTACATGCATCGGTAACATCTGTTGCCGACTCTTCGCCAAATACCACTACAATGATGGCAAAAGGAGAGAGGTGCTAAGCGCCAGTGCTGCCAGTGGTGTTGCTGTTGCCTTCGGGGCTCCCATTGGAGGTGTTCTCTTCAGTCTGGAGGAAGTCAGGTATGTTCTCTGCATTCAAGCTAATACTGACTGACCATATATGGAGCTAACACGTCTATGCTAGTTACTATTTTCCTCCAAAAACTCTCTTCAGGACATTCTTTTGCTGCATTGTAAGGCTCCCTTGCTGCACTATGTTTAGAACTGTACGCTAATTTTGTAACTAGGCCGCTGCCCTTTCTTTGAAGTTTCTTAACCCCTACCAGACAGGTAAAATTGTCCTGTTCCAAGTCCGCTATGTGTCCGACTGGGAAATATTCGAGCTCGCTATTTTCATGCTCCTCGGAGTCCTCGGTGGTGCCTTTGGTGCACTCTTTATCAAGGCATCAAAGCTCTGGGCTCAAACATTCCGCCGTATCCCCGTCATCAAGAAGTGGCCAATGCTAGAAGTTGTCCTTGTCGCCTTGATTACCGGCCTCATGAGTTTCTGGAATCGTTATACCAAACTTGCAGTGTCTGAGCTACTCTTCGAACTCGCAAGCCCGTGTGATTACGAAGGTCAAACGGAGACGGGAACTGGCCTCTGTCCCAAAAGAGAAGACATTCCGGATGTCATCAAGTACCTCCTGGTTGCGTTCATCATCAAATCTTTCCTTACCACCATCACGTTTGGCATCAAGGTCCCAGCTGGTATCTATGTTCCTTCCATGGTTGTCGGCGGTCTTATGGGCAGGATTGTTGGCCATGTCGCACAATACTTCGTCGTCCATTACCCGAATTTCTTCCTATTTGGACAATGCCCTAGCACCAAGCTCGCAGAATCATGTGTTAACCCTGGTGTGTACGCTCTCATTGCTGCCGGCTCAACCATGTGCGGCGTCACCAGGCTGAGCCTTACCCTTGTCGTCATCCTGTTCGAGCTCACTGGCAGTCTGGACCATGTCCTCCCTTTCTCTCTTGCCATTCTCTGTGCCAAATGGGTTTCCAACGCCGTAGAGCCTCTAAGCATATATGACTTGCTAACGGACATGAATTCCTACCCATTCCTCGATAACAAACTACATCCAATTGCCAACATCGAGCTGGGAGACATCGTGCCTCGTGTTCGAAGGAACAGGGTCATCGATATCTCGAGCTCGCCCTTGGTCAGCGCAACGGAATTACGCGAAAAGCTAGACAAGCTCCTGATGGCCGGCGAGCTCGATGGTGGACTGCCAATACTAAATAATAACATCCTTGTCGGCCTAATTCCTGCTCCGGAACTAGAATATGCGCTTGATAAATTACCCTCAGAAGAACAGGACACAATGTGTTTGATGTCTATGCAGTCATCATACCTAGGCGAGGGAGAAAATGACACGAATGTCGCTGATTTCACGCCATTTATTGACCCGGTACGTATCCCCTTGCGGTCATTTAGTTATATATCTCGCGCTAACCTGTTCGTTCATTGCAGTCCCCTGTTTCTCTGGATATTCATTCCCCTATAAATCTTGTTTATCAATGTTTCGTCAAGCTCGGCCTTCGGTACATGTGCGTCCTTCGGGATGGCCAGTATGCAGGCCTAGTTCACAAAAAATCCTTCGTCAAGTTCATGAAGGAGACTGAAAAGGCTTCGGCTGCGATACATTAAGGCCAAGCCTATCTCTCAAACAAAATAGAGACTGCCCGCTGTATGAGCAGTGTTCTGGATGTGGCTATTGTCGATTAATTGACTTTCGCGCACTATTTGCTCTTTTGCGTTGGATCGTTATATTTATTATATCCTTTGCTCATTTCCCGGTATGATCCCTGCTCCAGGGGACTGACTCATATCCTCCAATATTTCACTTCCTAGCAGTTCTTCGTTATTTCAAGACTGTCCATTTTGACTTAGAATCGCATTTCTAAGGCGTTTTTATTCTTCTGTCGATGTTGTGTTTGTTGTTTTTGCGATTTGTCCATTTAGCCATTATTTTTTCCCTCTTTTTTCCCTCTTTCATGTTTCCATGTATCCCTACCATATTTATACTACTGTTGCATATACACATAGATGAGACTATTTATCAAAGAATGCTTTCACTTTTAACCGTTCCCGAATAGTTTTATTAGTGGAGGGAGTGCCTGGGACTTGAACTGAGCCGGACGGCCACAAGTCCTCATAACTTTTCATATCCCGAGATCTTCATGGCAACATCACCTTCCCAAGCCCAATCAGAAGATACAGCTTCACCAACCCATTCTGTAAGTTTCTCAGATGGAACTTTGTTCCACCCTTCTTTCAAATCCTTTCCATCTAAGGGGAAACAGGTATCACACTCAAACCCATCAACTAGTTCCTCAACGTCACACTGTGGGTTCCCTTCCACACGCCTTCGAATATCAGTCATAACTATTCGAAGCGGGTTGTGCTCTCCGAGAGTGTCTGCGGTCAGGCGCAGGCTAGAAGCGTATATCTCACTCCCTCCCATGATATATACGTTGCCCAACCGCCTCTTCCCCTCCTGTACATCCGATGACGAGCTTGTCACGAAATTTCTCTGCAACTTAGATAACGCATCCTCCAAACTGCTCGAGACTATGACCTCTGGTTCCTCAGTAGACGTAGATGTAGTTGCAGCCTCGCCAGTATCCTGGTCTGCCTGCTTCTCTAACTCCCGTTTCCTCGACGCATTCCAGTCTGCAATTGCTCGCTCCTTGACTGACCCAGATTCGTCTCGGGTTATAATGACGTTAAGTCTCTTGGATAGTGGTCGAAATTTCGCTGGTATCGAGTCATATGTCTTTCGGCCCATGATCACGGCGTTGATAGCTGGTGAAGCTGTTCCAGAGGCTGTGGCTGTGGCTGGAGGGCGCGTCGTTACGCGAGCAAAAAAGCTCATATCTTTCTTTATTCTGGGCCATGGCAATGTGCCTCCTTTGCCAATTCCGAGTTTAAGAATGCCGGGATTTGTAGGAGTTGTTATGGGTGTGGTCGCGACGACGAGAGTGAGGGGTGGGAGTTTTGCGGGCATTCTTGGACTGTCGATGCTGGTGGTCATATCGAAGAAGTGCGCGGAGTTTCAGTGGTATTCGCAGTGGTTTTATGGGTATGTATAATTAATTCTCTGTCTATGCTTGTAGAAAGGTGACAGTTACCGTTGTTCAATTAACTTAACTGACTAGTGGGGTTTTTTTAGTGGCTACGCCAGAGATTCCCCAAATACGAAACAGGGCTACAGAGTACTATGGTAGAAATGAGGATTATTCTAAGAGAGGCTATAGCAAAGAAAATAAAGAACATTTGGGTATCTTTACATAGTACATACTGAACTCCTAATCAACCTCCCTAAACCGGAAAACCGCCTTCAAACCAGAATGATAATAGGTATTATTAAAGCACTGACATGTCATTGCTTCTCCGATTCTGCTTGCGTTCTCTGCTGGATCATATCTCTGACAGCTTCTACATCTTTCTCCAGCTGTTCCCGTCGTTGAATATCTCTCTCATCTTCTCCAAGCGTCTCTAGCTTCCCAAATAGCCATGTCTCTTTCAATGTACGCGTAAGGGACAAGATATCCTCGGCAGCGCGGATCTAAAGTCACAATGAGACGGATTAGTCCTGAAGTAATTCCAGAGCAATGCATTCAATCGTATTGGGTAAAAGATCAAGTGATACGTCAAATTGCTATTCAATATACTCACGAGCGCTGTCGATTCAACGTCAAGCTGGTACGACTCAATGGCGGAGGATGTGCGACTGGGGTTGTCCACCTAGGCAAGGTCCACTCAGAATTCTACCACTACCAGCGCTAGATCGACAAGCAATAGACTTATCATACTGTTGCAGCAGCCATGATGTTTTCAAATCTCTGGAGAAGCTGTGTTATATCGGCATTGATTCGTGCTGTAGGACACCGTCAGACCAATCACTTCAGCTAACACTGAGGTACTGATGCTTACCATGGAGAGCACGGGACGTTGGCTGTTGCGTAGCCATCTCAGCTTGTTACAATAGGAGTCTACTCCCTGTCGCTTCACGTCGTTGTCTCTCTCGCAGGAAAGTGTTGCAACCTGATATTGCTTATCTAATCGTTTTATCTTTCAAGATAAAATTAAGGTTTAGAGCTAATCTTATCTTATCAGTAAGTCACATGATAAATATCACGTGAATAGTGGTTTCGCGTTTGCTGGGAGGGGAAGAAAGCCGAGTATATTCAAACTGACGGCATGTCAAATACATAATGAGAAGATACATAGCTAGTCGCCATACAATAAGTACTGCTGTGATTCAATAATCATAGTGGCATTTGGTTCATTTCAGAAAAGGAAATAACTCGGGTGACACAATAGTGACTGGAAAGCAGATTGAAACGTGCCACGCGTCAAGATACGCTTGTAAAAGCTTAGTAGTTGGAGCTGGAATCTCCGTGACCGCTACCAGACAGCTTGTTGCCAATCATTTCACCAACCTTGCCGAGGACCTTGGAGGTAGCGGACTCTGTAATAATTTCATGTTTAGTATCTACTCGGCCAGCAGGAGAGGTAAGTTTGACTAACTATTCTCGTTGTCATCGTCATTGTCAGTTCGGGAGTAGCCAGAGCTGGTGTTATCGGTGCGAGACTTGGATCCGTAGGAGTCATCATTGTTCGAGCCGTAGGTGTTGCCAGACTTCTTGGATGACGAGTAGGTGTCGTTGTCGTTGTCATTAGAGCCGTAGGTGTTTCCAGAAGTACGAGACTTGGATCCGTAAGAATCATTGTCATTGCCAGAGCCAGAGCCATAGGTGTTGCCAGAACGGCCAGATGAGCCGTAGCTGTCATCATCTCTGGACTTAGAGCCATAGCTGTCATTGCCACGGCCGGAGGAACCATAGGAATCGTTGCCTGATGATCCATAGGAGCCGGTGTTGCTGGAAGACTTGTTCGATCCGTAGCTGTCGTCATTTCCAGAACGGCCGGAGGAACCATAGGAGCCGGTGTTGCTGGAAGACTTGTTCGATCCGTAGCTGTCGTCATTTCCCGAACGGCCGGAGGAACCATAGGAGTCGTTGCCTGATGATCCATAGGAACCGGTGTTGCTGGAAGACTTGTTCGATCCGTAGCTGTCGTCATTTCCAGAACGGCCGGAGGAACCATAGGAGTCGTTTTCTCTCTTTGATCCATAGGAATCGTTGCCACGTCCGGAGGAGCCATACGAGTCGTTGTCTTTGGACTTGGAGCCGTAGGAGTCGTTATCGCGGCCGGAGGAGCCATAGGAGTCACTGCCACGGCCGGAGGAGCCATAGGAGTCGTTATCACGGCCGGAGGATCCATAGGAGTCATTGTCTCTGGACTTGGAGCCATAGGAGTCATTGCCACGGCCAGATGAACCATAGCTGTCGGTGTTGCTGGAGCCGTAGCTGCCATCATTTCCAGAACGACCTGAGGACTGGGAAAAAACACTTGTCAGCACATCATATTCAAGAAGCACATACTAGGTCTACATGGGTAACATACGCCGTAGCTGTCGTTATTTCCGCTACCGGACTATTAATGCAATGTTAGCTTAGCGGAGCCAGGGAAGAGCGCTCAGGGTAGGTGCACGGTTAGGCCAACATACGTAGTTCTCGTTATCACGGTTGCTGTAAGACATTTTGAATGGGGTATAATGTGACGACGGGTCTTGATAGAAGAGAACAGTCTAGTACAGGGTAAGATGCCTTTGAGTGTATACAGGAGGATGAAAGATCTTGGGTATATGGTGGACGGAAAGGAGGGGACGGGGGCCTTTTATGTTTATACGGCCACCCCCTTAATGACGACAATGATAGAGGGGACAATGATGACGATATGAGTTACCCCTCCACACTGGCTGGAACTCAGCCAAAACCCAATCCATTGCACCGTGATCGTCACGCCTGCCAACTTCGGAGACACATTGGTAAGGACGGCCGGTGGTGGGTATCAGTCTGACGCCGGTGCAAAATGCGAGGACGCAAGCTCTCCGTGGCCGGGCTGGACAGCGGGGGCGGGGGATGTGATTGATCGAACTGGGTCGACAAACAATCTGATACAGGGGACAAGATCAGTAGTCTCTGAGCAGGGTGGCATGGCCCCATGCAAAAAATACGTTATCGTGGTATTGTTGCTTTTCCTGCTCGCATACACTTCGTACACAGCAGCGTAGCATGGAGACTGAGCTCTCGCAGATAACTTAGGCGACCTTCCGCTACAGGCCAATTGCAATGCAACATCCCTTTCCGATCGAACCCCGCATCGAACGCCATGAGTTTCGTCTTTGATCCACTGATGATTCGAGCTTCATGACCCAACACCCATGCACGACTGCATCATCCTATCGCCAAAGAAGGCCGGAGAAGAATGCACGATACGTTCCATTGGGCGGGGACAATCGTGGCCTGAGGGAAATACACACGGGAAGTCCAGGAGAAAGGGACAACCCCGGTGCTAGTGAGCTCGCCACCTCGGCTTGGATGCTCCCTAGATAGGTCGAAGGGGGCCGTCCTGTGGCTGTGCAGGGGAGCTAGGGCACGGAGCTTTTGCCACAATGATGCGCAGAAGACGGGTGGAACGATGTATCGAGAAGATTGAGATCTGTGCTGTGGCTGAACACAGCCACACCGGACTGTTGACGGCCGCGAAGTTGGGATATCCAAGCCTTTTCTCGGGTAAATGTGGGATACAGGAGCAAAAAGGGCCATTCGAGTAGTAATCAATCAAAATATCAAAATACAGTTCCAAAAGAAAGCGTTGTACCTTTGGTAGACGGAACACGGTAAACTTTATGCGTCGCCCCTCCAAAAATAATCCCTTCAATGTTATAAATAAAATACCCCGTAATAGCATACAAGTTGACAGTGGCAAAAACTCCATGGCGCCTCTAAAGCCACTCCTGGCTTACCGGACATACTTAGACTGGTAGAAGAGGAGAGAAGTTAGTGGCCTATATGGTTAGAAAAGGGCAGCGGAAATGTAAACAAACCATGAATCGCTTGTGGAAATCGGACCGTAGTAAATCCTAATGAAAGACAGGGGATTAGCCAAGCAAGACCCATACAACCAAAGGCTATATTCAAAATAAAAAGATATACTATAAGACTTACATTAACAAATTCCTTGTCACCTTTGTTTTCCGTGCCTCGAGCTTGGTTCTTGAAGATGACATCGTCATCCCAACGTCGCTTGATATTAAAATCTTGCGGGTTGAGCAATGGATTTCCTCGAGCGATTTCAATTTCCCGTTTCTCTTGTTCTTTTGCAGCTTGTTCTTGTTCCTATGAAGCTATTAGCCGCTGGTGGACCCCACAACCCCTTAGGTTTCCGGCCTACCTCTCTCTCCCGTTGCTCTGCCCTTTCTCGCTTTATTTTCTCTAGTTCTCGCATTAATTCTGCTGTTTCATCTTCTTCGTCATCGCTGCATTGATACGTTAGCAGACCGTATGGCAAAGACCGCTAAAAGGTACAATTCCTCTCCCACGCACCTATCTTCTTCGCTGCTGTCCGAGTCCCCGCCGTCTGAATCTGCATCTATATCTCGCGTCTCTTCCAGTATCCTTCGCCGCTTCGCTTCCGGATCTTCGTCTGCGATGTCATCTTGCCCTGGTGCCGATTCCAGCTGTCGTTTGGGAACAGACGGCTCTGCATCAGCGTTCGACGGCCCAGGTCCCCCTTTAAGTTTGGCAAAATGAGCAGCTTCGGCTTTTAACAGCTCGGCGCGTAAATCTCGAGTCTCTGGCTGAGCATCTGCAGCTCCTCCTTGTCCTGGCTGCCTATAAATACCTAGTCAGTCTGCGCTTCTTAAAACGAAGTCAGTCGGGCTCCGTACCTGACTTTGAGATGTGTATGAGCAGGGAGAAGTCGCTGATGGTATGCAGGTCCTCTCTGGGCTTCTTTGCCCCGGGCCTATTGTAACAGTAAGTACATTGGAGCCTCCTGGGAATGGGGGAAGTTGACATACTGGGTCGAAAGTTGGTCGATGAGCTAAGTATAGGTCAGCAGAACGAACTTTCCAAAGTTTATAGGTATCACATACCTGTAGTCATCTTCGAGCTTCTCCGGTAGGTATTGGTTGGAGAGTGGTAATAACGTTGCGATGTCTGCGGAGAGAGAGCTTGCTCGCTGTCCGCCCTTTGATAAGTGCAAAGGGAGACAAAATTATTGCTTAGTCACCAAAATATACTTATCACGTGGTGAATTGTCATGTGATGTAAAAATCCTGCCAATAAAAATGAAGGTAGTGGCTAGGATGGGAAATTAGGCCAATTACAGGCAACAGATTTAATCTTAACTTACATAACATTCATGTTTGGTTTAAATAGAGACATCGCATTTTGTCATTTTCTCTTCAAACTCATTACATTTATTATATACTCTGTACGGAGTACCAACTATATACTTCATCTGTTCTATTCATGTAAGGCACAATCTCGATTTGGCATCCATGTGTTCGCCCACTCTGGCAACCAACTTTTCATTAGCCTGCTCAGATAATAGCTACCATTGGATTCTTAATAGCATTTCCCACGGCTCTAACCATTGCGGACACGCTTATTGAGAAATGACACCAGAGTCGTAATGTCCACCTGTGACCATAAAATAATAACCTTATCCTTAAAAATCCAAAACCAATGGATATGCCGGGTGTGCGCATTTCTAATCCAGCTTCCTTCGGCAGCATACCTACTAGGGTTTCCAACGAAGACTTGGTCACTTAGCCCGGACTGGCAGTCATAGTGGAGAACCAATAATCCAGAGAAATCTTAGATAGACCAAGAGGATAAAGGTTGTCAAACGCGGGTGTAAAGTTTGCATCTTAAAGTTTATCTTCTTCAAAAGAAACCACTCAAAGAGTCATATTGTCAGCCGCCAGGTAAATCTCTGAAGTCCATATTTGGTACTTGATACTCCAGGACGTACCTTGGTGATATACCACCCTTGGGTTATAGCAAGATAGACCTTGATGAATAATAGGTGTGATGCATAACATTAGATTTAAGCTTTTATCAGCTTAACGATGCACCGACAGGAGGCTTCCGAGACAGGTATATATATATATACACGGAAGTTGTAAATCCGGACGAGCAGCTCTCTCGATCGCTCACACGAGTCGTTGTGGGCAGGGGTAAATGTTTGATGGACTAGTAGTCGCAGATACCCGCATGGATAGCTCAAGTATATGAACTTGGTGGAATAAAGGCCGAGCCCAACAATTCGATCAAAGTCCACCATGAAAGGAAAAGGAGGACAAGATAAGGACGAGGACGTTGATGCAGCCCCAGGCAAAGGGAATCCATGTCGACATTTTAAAGCTTCCCGCTTCATAAACTAAACCGAGACTGGAGGAAGAAATGGATTAGGATCAAGAATTCAAGTTGGTACTTTCGATTTGGCCGATGGAGACCCAGGCTTACATTAAACCAACAACGCTACCAGCTAACAAGCCCTCCAGCCCAGCAATGATTGCGTATACAAGTGGAATTGCCCATGCAAGCTTCCAACTGTGTCTTTGGCAGATCGTAGCATACAGTGCTACAGCCATATGAGTTCCGCCATAGAACGCCAATGTCCAGTAGAGGGTAAAGCGCCACGCATCTTCCATATGATAGATGTGTTTTGGAGTTTGATTCAAAGGGCTGAATGGGAAGTATAGGGATGGAAACTCCGGGGAGACATATTCAGATGGTATCGAGTGCGATGTCATATTTTCGCCGGGGTCACATTATGGCGGAACAGGACATGGGCTCTGTCATTCCTCTGCGAGCTTTGATCGTTGTTGCTGCTATCGAGTGTTGGGGTGTTTTTTAACTCCTGAACGCGCAAACCTTAATTGGACCTGATTAGAAATATCACGTGATGATTAGCTCGCGCGTCTGGTTCGAGCCTCGGCAACAAGAAGTTGACCTGGGGAAGCTGTTCGCTCTGCACTTCAAAGCACATCAAGAGCAGACAGAGATCCGGCCCTCTGCCCGATGCAACAAGGAGTCTGTTAACAGGCATCATGGGGACTGAAAGGTCCCTTGCGACGCTTTTGCGATCCATTCAGACTGCAACATCTCCTTCAGATGCACTCAAGTATGAACATTACCGCAAACCTCAAAGCAACTGGACTGATACTAACGAATATCGATTCCCAGTCTTCTACCCTCAGCTCTCGGCCATTTAACCCTGCTCACCAATCCATTGAACGTCACTCTTTTATCAAGCCAGCTACTTTGTGCCGAATCGCTATGGGAGTTGCCGGCCCTTGATTTGCACTATTGCCGGCGGATGCTGAGCGTTTTCAACACCGCGGCGGTCACGATTGTTAATTATGAATCCGCATATGACCCGCACTCTCCAAATCTACAACGTCGGGGAATTGGTCGAGAAGATTGGACGAAGGCAGTAGTGAATGGTGCCGATGAGAAATCACCGCGATGGAGACATCTCCTTTTGCTAGGAGGGCTGTTGCTCGGGTTCGAAGGTCAAAACCGACGAGGTTTATCATATGCCTTAAGGAAAAAGCTCGAGGCTGCTCTAGTCACCGGGATACAACTAGCTTTAGATGAGCTTCGATCTAGTCCGACAATTGCTGCATATACGATAGTACTCGTCCTTAACTACACTTTCGAATTATTATCCGACTGGGAACGAAGCAGGATAAATTACGACGTCTTGCTTCCCGTGTTAGCCGATGCCGCCTTTATGTCTCCGGAAGGCCTTGAATCTGGCTACTTCCTGGGCTCCATCGACAGGGGTATTGAAGAAATCCCTGGCCAGGGTAAATTTTGCTGGAAAGAAGACTCGCCGTCGTACTATCAAGCAAAGGATATATTAATGAGACCGCTTGTGGCTACATTTGGCCCACTGTCGAGACTCATTGCTCATGCGGTCGAGAGCACCAGCAACCGCGGCCAGGTTATACAAGTGCTAGACTCACTCTTCGAGCTGTCCAGGACACTGATGGTTCAGTGGCGTCAAAACAAATTGTCAGAAATCGATCAATCCGAGGAGTCCGAATTCCTAGATACGGCCTCATTACAGACAACTATTCCTACACTTTGGAAGTTACTAAATATACCCCTCTTTTCTTTTATCATTGTTCTCCGGGCAATTCTCGGAAGGGTGCTCAATGATCCTATTCTTGCCGCTGATAGGAGTAAGTATGCGTTCAAGCTAATTAGCTGGTAATCGGGTAGCTTACTTTTTCCCCCCTGAACAGGTAGCCCTTTTATTGCCTCTAAGTCTCTTAAATCCCTTCGGCATCTTGCATTTATTACCGCAAGAGCCGGGTATAGCAGTTCATCACAATATGTCTTCGTCAACTTAACTGCCATTGATATCCTTGCCCAATATCCTGATCTGTCGGAAGACTTTTTGGAAGAGATTCGGCCATCCGACTCATCGAAAATCCCCGCCCATCCACTCGATAGGTGTCTAGACCTTTTTTTCCTCAACACAGCGGAACATTTCAGCCTGATAGTATCACCCATGCTAAATGAGCGACTCCTCCTATCAGCAGCACAACCTTATCTTGCGGCTGGTGGGAATAACCATCTCCTAGAAATTTTTGAATCTGCTCATAGTGTGGTTCTTGCTGTTCTTGCAGCTCCACAGAGTGCCAATATGGCCGCAAAACACCTTCCCTCTTATGTTGATACCCTTTTTACCGTAAGTGGAAGTATTTCAATTCAAATTATCAATTCGACGATGCTTACTCTGTATAGGTTTTCCCGCAAAACTTATCCGCAAGGCAATTCCGCCTCGCATTCAAAACCATTCTCAAGATAACGGCCCCCCCATCACCACTTGCCAACAGCCAACCGTATTTACCCTCAGTTTTCCTCCAACTCTTATACGATAGAGCTATCAACGCACCCACAACACCTCTACTTCCTCCAGCAACTGACTCAAATCCAAACCCAGCACCTGAGGACCTTTCAGAGCAAGGTGTACTGACGATGACCATAATCGATGGTCTTCCATATCTCCGAGTCGAACTACTTGAGGACTGGTTAGACCTAACTGTTGACTTGATAAACCGGATTCATGACCAAGAGATAAGGAGAAAGTGTCAAGAGAAGTTTTGGGATACGTTAAGTAACGGAGACATGGATGTGGAACGAGCCAATTTTTGCGTGACATGGTGGAGCACACGGTCAGGGAGAGATATGCTTCTCCGGAAATCCGAAGAAGAGGATACCCAACTGTATAGCATGAGCGGTGGTGTGGCCATGCAACCCACACAGAGCAAACTATAGAGGTTCTTGTATGATTTTAATTATTAGGCGGATTTTAATTTTTTTTATCCGATGTATACATACTGATGGCTGAATTAGTTCTATCAAGAATTCATATACCCAATGCCTTTTCGCTGCTTGCTTTTCTCTGAATACACAATATTGTTAACAGGAGTACCTCAATTTATACCCTCTGACCATGGTTTGGCCATAGACGCCAAGATAATACCTCCCATAATTTCCATACATACACATCGATAATAATAAGTAGACCTAAGGATTCTTCCAGGAGCTCCAACTTAGACCGCGAAACCTTTCCCGTAGCAAATGAGGCTCCGGACTTTGCGAAGAGATCACAATCGAATGACTGCTTCCCCGACTGTCTGCCTGCATACCGTCATCTTTTTCTTTTTGGTAATGGTTATGCCGAGAATTGGGAGCCGACTTGACCTCTCCCTCGGGATCACCAGGGGGTTGAAGAAGCGTTATTGGGTCAGAAAACTGTTTCCAGTGAGAATGACATGGATACGGGTCCATCTCGCAAGGAAAGATGTATAATCTCGGGCAGCGATGGAGCATAGCTTTAGAGAAGTATATATTTCCTGTCGTGATGAACCGAGATGTGTCCTTCGGTGCAGATGGGCATGGAGGAGTATTAAATGTCCTGCAGAGACGTATATAATGTAACCTACAGCCACAGGGCCGATGTGTGTGTGTTCGAATTCCACACATGGTAGCAAGGTCTGTTCTTGAGATTTGTCTGCAAATTTGAGTTTGTATCGTCTGGTATGTTAGGTATGTTAAGCAGACTAGGGATGTTTCCTATAGTCTTGCTTTTTAAGCCGCTGTAAAACAGCGTAACAGTAGTATTATACTGTGGAAGGGTGTGATGTATTGCATAACATATCACTGGGTATAATCAGCGTCTGCATAATAGCTTCAAATGAAGGGGGTAAGTGGAAAGCAGAGATACCTATATATTCACAGAATTATGCCACTTACATAAGTAGACAAATAAGATAGAGGGAAACAATGACTTGATTTGCGCCAATTGACCGCATTAAGGCCAGCAAACAATATTTGAATCCAGAACGTTCAATGAATTCTGTTGTTGACTCTCCAGGCATACATACACAATGGATAGAAGAGAAGATGGTATTTCCCGCTCAGCCTATGAATGGAATTCCTACCCAGGACTTGCTCTTGTACTCTACATAGTCGTTGCCAAAAAATCCAATTAGAAGCTTTTCCTCGCCTGGAATATATTAGTTACAGTCCAATCACTTCCAATGAGCAATGCACTTACGGTATATCCGAGATGAGAAGAATTTCCAAAGAACGAGGGCATATCCGATGAAACAAACGAAGTTCCCAAGGACTAATTGCGTTCCCAGTCCCCACCAGAAGAATCCGAAATAGCTAGGATGCCTTAGAATACTGTACAAACCGGACTTAACAAGTACATGCTCGTCTCTTCGCTGTGTCTGAACAGTATGGGTGAAGTTTGAGCCTGCCTGGACCATGGCAAAACTGCGGATAATCTGCCCAACAAGGACCATCATCAGGCCAACAAAGACCTGAACTCTCACTCCACCAAAAAGCATAGAAGTCCATCGAAGATAGCCCTCGGGAAACAAAAGATGACTCAGGAGACATTCGGCCATTGCAGAGCTATGAGCAATGTTGTACGCGGCACCATTTGAGCTCAAAAGGAAGGCAGATACCGTGGCAAACGAAGTGCTATAAGCCGCCGTTATGTAAAACTCAAGGAAGTGGAAAACAGCTAAACATGTAACGAAGAAGGGGGCTCTCCATAGAGGATGCGAATGGTAGGCCAATATTAAGGTGAGCAGTGAGCAGAGCCCAGCAGCTTGGCCAAGGAGAAATGACCTGATAGAGATACCGGCCAATGATCGGTTGCCTCCAGGGAGGTTTGAGCGGTCGACTTCCCGTCTGGCACCATTGATATCTGTGCTATCCTCCGAATCGTAGGAATAGTCAGATTCCAGATGTGGTGTGTGTGTGTGCTGTTTGTATGTCCCCTCCATGGGCGAGGTTCCAGCAGGCTCCGACATTGCTGGCTTGATGGTATTCCGTAATGAAGACATCAAGGACTAGTTAGTCAAGAAGAGAAGAAAACGCGCCTGGTCAGTTCCCCAGTAGTCTTCTTATCCTCCCACTAAGTAGTTTCATTTTCTTATCCTTTCATCTCTCAACAATAGCAACAATCCTGAGTTGAACAATAAAGCAAAATTTATATTGAGCAGAAATATGTGGAGACAAGGGGGTGAGAAAGAATTCTTTCATTGGCTAACTTTACTCATTATTTAATTGGCTGATTTCTGGGGATATGCTAAACTTCAACTGTACTCCGTACTCCAATTCTTTTCAACCTCAACATCAACCACAACTACCCTGAAGCTTCAGGGGACCAACTTTCTTACAGTACGGAGTACATGTCTAGTTATTTAACCCTGAAAATGAGTGCTACAATAATCAATGCATCATCGACGGTGTCGGCTCCAGGATATAGCCATTTTTTGAGCGAAATGGTCAGTTTAATTGACTAAATGACTAAATACAAATACCCAGGTCTTTGCAATTGACGGTGAAACTAGCCTGAAAGGGCGGCAATGATTGCGAGGTCGGTCCTTGAATCATATCTTTCCAAGCCTTGATAAAATTCTTGGCTGGGCAGTTAGGATGAAGTCAAAGCCGAAACTAGCTCTCCGTGGAATAGCACACCAAATATGCAAAGTGTATATAATTAAGGGATGTTTCTGTATATTAAGCAGGATGAGTTGGCTTCCGCCATGATTCACGTTAATTCTCAATTTCGTGTCTACGACTTATTGTTCAAGGGCATCCTAGCAGTCTAGGTTATGGATACCCTGTAACAATTGGCCTAGGGGAAAAATATGTGTCACGTGAAAGAGCTTGGACCTAACTACTGTTTCTGCAAGTTCGATTTGATTCTGATGTCCGTTAAATTATAGACAAGCAACCCCGAAAGGTTCCCTGATTGTGTTTGACGATTACAATGTCATCGCAACCGTTGACAGCAGCGAATATATTTGCAGTTTTACGCCATCTTCGATCTCTCTGTCATCCTACCCGGCCGGTCACCACAGCATCCTTCGCATCCTCGATCGCGTCGCAAATAACTCCCTCACGAGCTTATAACAATTACACCCCAACGCATTACACTCCATTATCTATCCCAAAAAATAGTGCACTGAAACAATGGCATTTTGTGGCATCATATTCCACTGTTCCTCCAGCCAAGACCGAGAAAGAAACCACTGAAGACACTAGTCTATCCAAATCAACGAAACCTAAGCCTAAGAAACCTCTACCCGCATGGGCAGTCCAGAAAAACGCCTTGAAGGAGAAATTTAAAGAAGGATGGAAACCGCGGAAGAAGGTGTCTCCCGACACCATGGAGAGCATCCGGAAGCTACATAGCATGGACTCTGTGAAATTTTCGACGAAGAATCTTGCGGAGGAGTTCAAAATCTCCCCTGAAGCCATTCGAAGGATATTGAAAAGCAAATGGCGAGCCACAGAGGCAGAGGAAATTGATAGGAGAAATCGGTGGGAGAAACGAAAGATAAGAATCCAAGAGCAAATGATGGAGCTGGGACTGAGGCACACAGATCCAACTTCTAAGGACGATCCTAGCGCTGAGGAAGTGTTGTCTCAACGCCACTATTCCTCAAACGCTATTGAAGACCTTTCTGGTGAATATCCGCCTCAAAACAGACGCCGGGAAGGAATTCCCCAGAAAAGGATTGTTCCTGAAGACAATTCCTCTCGAAAGTTTGATCCTTGGGAGGTTACTGCAGACGATCTTCTCGGTACTAAAAGAGATTCTTTCAGGGATAACTGGTCGAAGGAAGACTCACCGAAGGCCAGAAGCAGTAGCTCTCAAAGGCATCCGCGAAGAATTGAATACAATGAGCGAAGCTACAAAGAGAAGCCTGACTGGTAGACCAACCTCCCACTAACTCCTACAGCCCATACTCCAGCACTGTTTACATACCTATAACTGTACAATACCATCTCACATCTCACACTTCATAATATCTAATGGGTAGTCTGAATAATGAGTAGCCGTCGGCGCTTAAGTTAGCCGCCAAGCGCATGCCAAGGCCACATGAAGATCAGCCAAGAACGTCCTGGAGAAATGCGTAGTCGAACTCTCCACATCTACAACCCTCGATGCTTTATCCTTACAGGTAACCGAGTGCTCACTCGCTGCAGCTACGACTTTTTTTCCCAGCCTATATACAGCTTGATATCAAAGCCTACGCTGGCTACACCGAGAATGCACATATACAAGCCAGATATGCATTGAAATTCTTTCCGGAACGAGCTTGACATGCCCCCAATCCCTTAACGACGCATCCATCCATGCAGCAAAAAACCAGCCTACCGTTATGTTATCGGACATTCAGGTCTTCGTGAGATGGAAAGAACAAACGATATTCGCCGGAGAAGACGTTGAATGCACAATCACTTTCAAAAATGTGACAGAGGAAGAGGCAGGAAACGAGGTTGTTGGGACGACGAAGCATTATCGAGGAGGATCTCGGCCTATTAACACCGTCACAGATGGGACCAACTACTCTCCAGCAAAATCCCTTAACCCATTTTCGTTCAATAATCCGCCGCGTCGCCCGCAGTCCTCGGGGTATCGGCCTCGACACCCACATCACAGGGCCTCTGCCTCCGTTGGCTCCTCTCCCATCTTGAGCCAGAGCTTTCCTCCTACCACCCCATCACGCACTCATGGAGCTTCCAACACGCCAGGCCATTCCCATAAACGATCTGTTTCAATAATATCCTTGGAGACGGATATTTCTCACGACCGTAAACAGGTTCAGTCCCCAAAGAGTCCACAGCCAGGCCGGCATGCACGATCAGCAAGTTTTCAAGCCCCTCCTAGGAGACATGACCCTTACAGAGATGAGTTTCCAGCTGGTATTAATTCCTCACTTCATTTTCAACCCTTTGTGTGAAATTCAGAGTGTTAATTCTGGATTTAGTGTCTCCCCGAACTCCAATCTCGAGGTTTTCGCCCATTACCTCACAGTCCAACCTCTCCCTTCCGAGCACCAAGGATGAAGCAGACCCCTCCCGTTATCCAATCAACAACTCACCGGCAGCTAGAAGGAGTCCGATGCGCAGAGCACCACGCAAAATGAGCGCTTTCCATGGAGATTTCAAGTTTCCGCAGGCTCCGCCTTCGCCCGAAAATAAAACAAATCCAACGCAGCCGGCCTCAGAGGATCAATACACCGAATCTCCTCCTAAAGCCACCGTACCCGATCATATTAATGTAACTGCTGCCAATGGGAAGTTGACAGCTGACCAGCCTCGCTGCCTTACGCCGGCAACGAAACTCTCCGCTGTAACAGCGATGGAGGGCAGTACCCGAAGTAGTACTGAGTTTTATTCTCTTAGCAATAACTCCACGGAGACTCTTGATTCAGACTATAAATTAGCTTCTATGAACAGGGGCCTTCCAAGGCATCGAAGACACCAATCAAACCTTGAGCCAGCCAGGAACGGCCGATCTAATGAGTCGCAAACACTTCTCATGGGTTATGCCCAGATCAACGCTTCATTCACGGTTGATGGATCATTACTGGATCAATCAATCTTCGAAGAAGTGAAGCGTAAGGGCGTTGTTGGTCACCATGGCAGCAATGAACGTTCACCAAGGCAGTCGAAGCCTAGAAGCGGGTTCTGGGGAAATATAGGGCTCAGCAGTCTGGGGAACTCTCTTGCAAGTTTGACTTCAACAGGAGAACTTGACGGGCTACGGGAAATGCGAGGCGCCTCTTCATCCAACTCCATACCTCTACTATCAACTCCGCAATCCCTTCTTTTCGTCGACCTCCGCTTGGCTCCCGGGCAGGAAAAGGCGTTTTCATTCTCATTTACTCTACCCCGCGGGCTACCCTCAAGCCACAAGGGCAAGGCTATAAAGATTTCATATAATTTGGTTATTGGAACGCAAAAGGCGGCAGCCATAAAGGGAAATCAGCGACTTCACAAGATCAATGTGCCATTCCGTGTTCTCAGTGGCGTGGATGGTAAGGGCAATCCCCCTATCACTTTTTTATATGCTATTCACTAATGATATAACAGCGCAAGGAGGTGTTCTCGGACATGATCTAATGCAGCCATACGTGGTGCTGAGGGATGAAGCACGAGTGCAAAGTATTGATTCATCAGCCCCGCGGCCACCAGCAAAGGAAAAAAGCATAAGCGCGAAAGCATGGACATCAGCACCCCAGTTTCTATCTTACGTAGACGAAATCCTCAAGCAAAAGGACCGTCAGGACTCCTTGGTGTCACCGATAAGTCCCGGGCCGCCACACCTTCATCACGAAGCCCCCTTTTCGTGCAAGGACGCCATTGACTTAGCTATCCTACGTAGCAACCAGTCAACTGCATCAGATCAGAGTGCCAACCGCTTCGAAATATCTCGCAGTGGCCGGCGAGTTGCCGTGATAGTGCTTAATCGACCATCGCACCGAATAGGAGAAACTATCGTGGCTACTGCCGATTTTACAAACGCAGCTATTCACTGCCACTCTCTACGTGGCTCTTTAGAAACCCACGAGACAATCAATCCCGAAATTGCCCTTCGATCTGCGGCAAGTATCACTCGTGCCACACGAAAGGTTCACGCCATGTGTTTCGAAAACACCCTCTTTGCATCCAGAGTGGCCTTCACGCCCGCCATCCCGGTCTCCGCCACTCCTACTCTAATCACGTCTGGTGTGAATGTTGAATGGCAGCTTCGGTTTGAGTTCGTAACAAGCAGCTTGCCCGATTCTACGGAGAATGCTCATACGTCAGCATCTGGGATTGGTCTGTTAGAACCCGTCGAGCATGATGAACGAGGAACTGTGTTTGCCGCTGCAGAACATATATCCTGTGAATCTTTTGAAGTTAGCATCCCTATTACGGTCTATGGCGGGACGGTGCAAGAGCCTAGCCGAGAGGAGTTGCAGGGAATACCTATATAAAACCACTGCTACGTCGAATGGATAGTGGGATTAGAATCTTGGGATGGTTTCGGTAACCATCGATGTTCATATGTTGATTAGATGAATTCTACATGTCTTCCGGATTGGATTTCTACCGTTGTCACTATAACAATGTATAATAGCTGTAATGTATTCCTTTAGCGTTTACATGATTCAACCAGTTCCTTACCAGGCATAGCCATGCTCAGTCCTTGGAGGTTAGTACCCTGTTGCTTGAACTATTGCACGGGTATCAAATGCTGCGACGGAGAACCTGTGATCTCCCCAGATTTGGTAGAGGCGTGGCTGTCTCCCCGGCAACCACCAAAAAGCGATAAAACATCCAGCAAAGACAAAAGGCGTTTAAATACCAACTCCCAATTTACGCCTTAACGACTCCATCTTCTTGCATCGTCCAATCAGTTCACCTTTTTATCGACAAGAAATATTTCCGAGAACCAACGAGCTGTTGAGAAATTGCATCAGGCGCGGATCAAGGGAAATCGACGACCCACGGCGCATCCCTGTTGACATACAGTATGGCGACTTCTCTTATCAACACCATGTACGTTCAGTCTCTGCGACTCTTGCGGCCCTGACTTCTATCACTTTATCCTGCCTGAGACTCTACTTCAGCTTCTCTTATTCGATATTGAACCTACATCTACATTTATCGCGACCGCGATGGCCCCGCCGCTGACAGATCTCTCTTCGACAAACAGAAACTCCCGCACGCGGGGGCCATTCCGGCCGCGAGCAGCGAATAAAGGCAGCGGAAGTTACCAGCTTCGACAGTTTGCGGAGGCGACGTTGGGCAGCGGGAGTCTTCGAAAGGCCGTCAAACTTCCTGACGGAGAGGATGTGAACGAATGGTTAGCCGTTAACTGTACGTTCTTATACCCTGATGGAGAGCACGAGCGGAGGAGGAAACACAAAGAGTGAACATATGGGCTGGCGCTGACTGACTGACTGGATGAATAGTGGTCGATTTTTATAACCAGATCAACCTGCTGTATGGGTCAATCACGGAGTTTTGCTCGCCGCAAACATGTCCTGAGATGAAGGCCACGGATGAGTACGTTTTCCGGTGCTGTTACATATCATGCTATTTGCCCCTAACAGGCGGATTGTAGATTTGAGTACCTATGGCAGGATAACGAGAACTTCAAGCGTCCTACGAAGATGTCTGCACCTGAATATGTAGAACATCTCATGACTTGGGTACAGGCAAACATTGACAATGAGCAGATGTTCCCCAGCCATATAGGTATGAGCTCAACTGAACCGATATTCCTTGTGATAATCGAGGACGAGTTTGAGACTAAAGTTGACGATAATCATTCTAGGGGTGCCTTTCCCAAAAACATTCCCTTCTCTGCTGAGACAGCTGTTCAAACGCATGTACCGTGTATATGCACACATATACTGCCACCACTACCCAGTCGTCGTTCATCTTGGGTTAGAACCGCACCTGAACACCAGCTTCAAGCATTATGTGCTGTTTATCGAGGAGCACAACCTGGCCAGCGGGAAGGATTTCTGGGGACCTCTGGGCGATCTGGTTGACAGTATGCTCAAAAGTGACTAAACAGCATATGGAAGGCACTGCATACTCCTCCCCGTCGGTTCCACCTGTATCGTCTCACCCTCGTTCATCATTGTCCTCTTCTCGGCAGCCCTCCCTGCTGCCTGTTTTACTGAGCATTACCGGACCTGGCGTCCACGGCATCCCTCGTCAAACGAGTCATGATAAATAGCATAACGTATAATAATGATACATAATTAAAGACCTCACACGGCCTCTTCAACCGCATCTCAGTGTTATGCGACGACATGCTGTTCGAAGTCCAGCGATGTCAATAATGTTACTCTTATCATTGTAGTTCCTCAACCTCCAAAGTCTTCCGAATTTTATATCACGTGACTCTGTTTTCCGCCGAGCAACCTCAAACCCACTGCGAAGTTCGACGTCCAAACCACGAACGACGACTTGCAAACCGCCAGCAACCAGCAGCATCTCCGGCTGTCCATCTCGCACCGCCCAACAGCAGCTCAATTCGACGGCCCGAGCCCCTCTCTTCTCGCCATGCTCTCCTCCCGCGTCGCCCAGGCGAGCCTTCGCGCTTCCGCCCAGCAGTTCTCCCGACGATCCGTCGTCAACGGAGCCAGAACCTATGCCGCCGCAGCCCAAGACCCAAAGCCTCCAGTCGCCCTCTTTGGCGTTGACGGCACTTACGCCAATGCCCTGGTGCGTATATACTTGGTTTCCGATGGTGGTGGATAACAATTGGCCGTCGCGGACGACAGGCAGCCGATACGCAAAAATAAAAAAACTCACACGCTAACGTCGTTGTTTTTTTCCTCATGAGCAGTACACTGCCTCCGCAAAGACCGGCAGCCTAGAGCAGACCTCCAAGGCTCTCAATGCTTTGGCCGAGGTGTTCAAGAAGGACGCCAAGTTGGGTCCTATCCTGCACACTCCCACCTTGACTGCGCAGGACAAGTCTCAGATTGTCCAGGAACTGCAGAAGCTTACTGGCAAGAACGAGCTTTTGGGCAACTTCTTCGTGACTCTTGCTGAGAACAACCGATTGGGTGTCCTTCAGGGTGTCTGCGAGAAGTTTGAGACTTTGATGGGCGCTTACCGGGGTGAGATTGAGCTAAACATCACCAGCGCTCAGGTATGTGTTCTATGTCCACGTTTGCAGGGAATCTTGATTTTGATACTGATTCTCCGAGTTAGAAACTTGACCAGAAGACCATCCAGCGTCTAGAGACTGCCATCGCCAAGTCTGAGTACAGCCAGGGCAAGAAGCTCAAGGTCGTCACCAAGGTGAGCATTATTCGTCTGTTTTCTCCTCTGTTTTGTCAATATACACTAATATGGTATGCAACAGGTCGACCCAGAAATCGTTGGTGGACTCATTGTTGAGTTCGATGGCCGAACAATCGACCTCAGCGTCTCCTCTAAGCTCACCAAGCTTAACAAGGCTCTCACCGACGCTCTGTAAATAAGTATTGTGCTCTAACATTATAAACACCACCGCAAGATCTGCAACAATAGAACTTTTGTATTATTGATTCCTTTATGTATCTTGTTTCCGTCACCTAAGTAGCAGTCAAACACCCCGAAACTTCTCTCCAGACGTTAGTCAAGGACGCCTGATATACACCCCAATGCAATCAACCAACGCATCTATTGTAGCAAGTAATAGTATTTCCAAATAGAAAAAAAAAAGCATACAACATGCAGTCAGAACCCGACAATTAATCTTACAACGAAGCGGGAAAGGGGAGAAATGAAGGTATTATAAAGACATAAGAACAAAGTAAACATTGTCAACCAAGCGAATGGGTGAGGGCGAGCGAATGAGATAATTAAACTATATATATCCGACAGCGTCAAGATGATAAGTGGGTTATAAAAGAAAGGATAAGAAGGATGTGGCAAGAGAGAGATATGTGGGGGGAGACCAAAGAGAGGGATGGGGAGTCGTGTTCCCGAGACCTGTCATATACCGTTCAGACATGTATAGACGCAGCAGCCAGGCATCGAGTGAGTTGGGTTTAATTAAGTAAAATGCCCCAAAAGAAAGGATATGCATAGCAACGTCGAACATGATATTGAGCCCGGGGGGTCGTTGTATGACGGTTTGGTTGGGAAGAATATAAAAAGTCATGTGGAGGTCTTGAGCTCGGGTATAAAGGTAGATATAACCAAAACATAAAAAATCAAGAAAAACAAAACGAGGAAAAAGGCTATTGCTGTCCCAATAAATGCATTGAAGGCTTTAATAAAAAGGGCGGTGATGAATGAATTGACTCAAGACCATCCCTGCTTGCCCTCAGAATGATTTTGCGCGTCGCCTCGACCATGAACGCCAGCATGGTCAGCAGCCTCATCGTCCTGGTCTGTGGTTGCTGGGGAGGTGGAAGCGTTGGTGGTGAAGCCATCGTCGGACTGGTTGGGCGTGGAGAGCGGTGGCAGGCCGCGCTCCTTGTCCGCGGTAGAGACCTCCAGCGGCGTTCTGTCCCTGAGCGAGCCATTCTGAGAGGTAACATTATCATTATTAGCACCGTCATTGACCTTGACGGGCTCAAGGGGTGCCTCCCCCTTCTGCATTCTTAGACGATTCTCGGTGGCTCGAAGTCTAGCTTCCAGCGCCTCGAGTTCGCGACTTTGCATTGATACCAATGTTTGTCTATACATCAGACCATTAGCAGCTGTTTCTAGTTTTCCCTTCTTCTTTTGAGTTCTTTGTTCATTGGGACATAGACATACTTATAGTGGATGGAGTTGGTGAGGTTGTCAACCTCCGAGTCGAGCATGAAAGCATTATCAAGCGCAGCAGCAAGAGAGCGAGCCATGGTTCTGCAACGAAACAAGTCAACAAAGGACGATTCAAACTGGGACAGAAGACGGGATGGATGAATGAAATGGAAAGGGAGAAGAAAGACTGACGATTGAGGCCGTCTGCCGTTGGGCTTCCACTCTTTATCAAGCTCCACGTCTGTCCTCTCCTGAGACATCTTCGCGGTTGTTCGAGATCGAGAAACAGGGAGGGGTGTGTTTTATGGATGGACGGAGAACGAGGTCAAGTAGTAATTAACTGGAGATCAGGGTTTCAGGTGCTTTGCACAGCCAGTCCGAGTGGTGGAAGATCCAGGGCGAGCAGAGGAGCGACGAGGAGCCCCCCTGAGGATTTATATAGCTTTGTCCTTCGAAACCAGAGCCAGCTGGGGGACGGGCGGTCGTTTGCTCACGCGGAGGCGAAGGAGAAAACGGGCGATGCAGGGCAAAAAGGGCGGAGTCGCAGCAACGGTCAGGCTGGAGAGTCACCAGAAGTCACCAGGAGGTCGCGGTCGATGATGATATAGTTGTATTAATTGCGAGTTAGCGGTTTAGTTACCAAGTAGCCCGCCCAGCTAGTCGTCTAGTCCCGAGTTTGCAGTGTAAGCCGCAAGAGCCCAAGGACACCCAAGGGTCAGAAGGGAGGAGGCGGAACGCTAGCCAAAACTGCGTCACTCGCCCTGGCGCCGCCTCCTATCCCTTTTTTGCGTCTTGTTTACTCCGTACTGTTGACTCAGCTCTTGCGCCTGCTGCCGTCGTCTCTGCCTCCCCCTGAGCATAAGAAATGAAAGGTGGAGTTTTTTCATTTCTTATCATATTATTATTATTATTATTATTATTATTATTATTATATTTTTATTATTTTATTTTTATTTTATTTTATTTTGATGTCGAAATAAAAAAATATTTCCTTTTTGGGAAGGAGGCCAGTTGATCGTCATGTGACTTGATGTTGATCACGTGAATAGTAAAGGAGAGTCACGTGAATCAAAGGGTTATAATCACGTGATATGCCTTTTTCAACGTCACGGAAAAAAAATGCTGGTGACGCGCAGGGTAGAGCGACAACGACGGCGACGGCGAGGACGAGGACACGGCTGGCGATACACACGAGAGACGCGACGCTCGAGAGGCACTACGAACAGGCATTGACGCCGACATACAGGCGCGAAAAAAAAAAAAAAAAAAGGCGAGAGAAAACACCACGGACTATAGGGAGACCAGCCGCGGGAATGCAATGGGATGCCTTCTCTTTCGTCATACACCCCCTTCGAGTCCCTGCTCTTCTTCCAGTCTCTGGCGACGCTAAAGAGTCGTCCGGATAGCTTTGCGCCAGTCTCAGAGCTCCTGCGGAACAATCCCTTTATCCAGCAGGATGTCAAGTACGACGCGAACCGACTGAGCCCGCAGGCCCTCGAGGAGCTGTACACCACCCTCCTCGTAGACGGCGTCCGGTCTTCAGACGACGAGGCTTCAGACCACAGTCACAGTGCGCAGGAAGCGGCCAATCTGAAAAAGAGGAAACATGCTCAGGCCGCGCAGGATGGAACGGCCAGGTCACACTCCGCGGCCATGCCGGACCTGGTCGATAAGCTCTACGCTAGGTACAAGGAACGCGTGACGAGGGAGATACGGCGAGAGGAACAGCGGTACGCCGAGATCAAGGACGAGATACGACGGCTAGAGGCCGGAGAGGACCTGCAGAAACAGCCTGTCACTGCTGATGGTTCGAACGTGGCACCCAGTCCAGGTGCTGCTGCTACTCCACCGCCGAAGCCGGAGGCTGCGCGGGAAAAGGTGCTCGGCAGGATCCCACAGGAAGCAGTGCAAGCACCTGCTCAAACACCCACTACTGCAGGCACACCGCAAGGAGTACGGCCTGTACAGCCCACGGCGGGACCGCCTGCAGTGACTGCCCCTCAAGAAGCTCCGATTCCTTCTACATATAACTTCAAGCCGGTGCCGTTGGCCAACCAGGCACAACAACAGCAGCAGCAGCAGCAACAGCAACAACAACAACCTCCCCAGGTATCTCCACCTGTCAGCACCCCAGGAGCCAATATATACCCCAATATCCAGCCATTTCCCCCGCCTGCTCATCCGACGTCAACCTCAGCCGCATCACAGCCCGCATATCAAAATGCACCCCCACATATGCCTCTTAACAGAGCAACCCAACAGCCTTCACTTCAACCACCGCCACCACCGAATACAACTTGGAATAGAACACCCCAGATACCATCTAAAACAGTCCCTCAAACCGTCAAGTTTCAGCCTCTTTTAACTCCCCAAACAATACCCCAGTCTTCTTACGGCCATGGATCTGCTCGCTCCACCCCGAAACCAAGCAACCAGGCGCGTAACAAGGCAACACCCACACCTAAACCCCTTGCTCCTAACATCGATAAACCCAACATTCCTCTTACCCAGAATCCCCCACCTTCAGCACCACCAGCAATAGCTCCGCCCCCGGCCGGTGGGGTCAGCACCGCTACTCCTCTACCACCAATCACACAACCTACTGTAACTACAGATGCTGCGGCCCTTGAAAAACTCAAGACTCAGCTCCCATCTTTTGCGCAATCAATAGGCAAGAGACCACCTCGTCCTTCGTTGGTCACTCCCAGTGGTAATACACCATGGAAGATACCTGGTCCTATATCGCTACCTAATGAGCCCGGCTCTCCTGAACCACCAAAATCTGCTGATATTAGTCCTATCAGTGAGCGAGCTTTGTCACCTTCAAGACAGGAAGATGTAGAACAGTGGACGGGACAGGCAGCACGTCGTAAACTGGACCTCGGTGGCGCAGCTCCTCGTGAGAGCCCCAAGCATGCGGGGGATGCTTCTTCGCCCAGCAATCCACCTTCGGGCCGTCCTCGAACACGTGGTCAGTCCATTGCCTCACGCGGAGAGGATACCCGTCACATCAAAAACGAGCTTCCAAGCACTCCAGTAGGTATCACTGGCGATGACATGGATAGTGGCCACTATCGTGCAAAGCGGAAAAGGAGTCCCAGCGGGTCTTTCTCCCTAGCTCACGACCAACGGCCGTCAGATTGGTTGAAAGACAGCCAATACGTGATGTGCTCACGGACATTTGGCCGCACTTGCGGTCCGATAATGAACGACGTAGCTGCTCATAAATATGCATCCATCTTTGCCAAGCCATTGACGAACCGCGATGCGCCCGGGTACAAGGATCTCATATACCGCCCTCAGGATATAAAATCCATCAAGTCTGCTATACACCAAGGCAGTCGTGCCGTTGCTGCGGCTTCAGAAGCTTCCCAGACAACGGAGGAAACTCCACCATCGACAACAGCAAGCGCATCAGCCTCGGCAGCAGCAGCAGGAACAGCAGCTTCAGGAGCGGGCCCATCAGCCAAGAGTAACGTACTGCTAGCTACTAAATCAGCAGAACTAATGCCGCCGAAGGGAATAGTAAACTCCTCGCAGCTAGAAAAGGAGTTGATCCGCATGTTCGCAAACGCAATCATGTTCAATCCTACACCAGATCATACTTTTGGCCCAGCGTTTCCCATGCGAACTGACTCTTCTTCTCGAGAAGGGACGCGAAGCGCAGAACCCGATGAGGGAGGCATTATCAATGACACGCTGGAGATGTACGAGGATGTCGAAAAGGCAATTTCCACCTGGCGCTCTGCTGAACGCCCCATGGACGACGCGGGTGGGAAAGCCTTTTTAGCTTTGAAGAGAGGAACTCCAGTGGATTCTAACGATGCAGATGATTGAGAGAGTTTTTACTTTTTTTTGTCTACTACATGCACATCATTATCTACCCTGTTTGAATCTATCCAATTTTATAAATTTTTATTCTCTTTTTTATATTTAGTGCCACTGTTAAAATATCTGGCTGCTATCCTGCCAACGACGCAACAGTCGTGCCAGGTTTTATCCTGCCCAAACCCTCCTTTGCATAAAAGTCCATCGGGTATATACCACCATTCGCCTTATTCCAGTCATCTTTGATACCCAAGGCAATAAGCGCCTCGTATGGTGTTAGTAGGGGTTTCGGAAATGCATACCCCCAATCAATACTCAGCCTGGGACAAGCAATTTGCACCCAGCAGTCAACATCTGGCATACTTGCCAACTTGCCCGGAAAAATCTCACTCAACAGCAAATTCACATAGGGTATGCCCTTCTCGTTAAGATGTTGCTCAATCATCTTCATGGTATTTGGATTCCCCTGACGCCCCAAGCTGCCCAGTATGATACCCCATCGCTTCGCTGATTTGGCGACGTCTATCGCCTTCCGACGTAGATCTTGCATTTCTTCATGGTCGTACCGTTCTCTGCTCAGGGTGCGGGAGTAAGGGTCATATCTGTACGCTGGTATGCTCGGGTTATGAATCATGGCCGATTCAAGATGAAAGCGTCCATCGCCCAGGTACAGAAGTAGATCTACTGTCTCGCTGGACATGCGAGGGGATGTGCAGCCTAGAATCTCCCCTTTGCTCAGGGGCATTATCTGGGGCACGGTGATGTTGAACCCTTCCTTCTCCAGCACAGGTTTCAACCCATGTAGTGTAGCGTTGAACTGTATTGTGCCTACCACCGCTATGCGCTGGCCTGAGGTGAAGTTGCGTTTCAGAGTGTCGATCAGATGTTGCGTGTCTATGCCGATGTCAACGAAGATATATAGCGTTTTTATCTTGGTGACGTCCACAGGTATAAGACACGAATGCGCATAATGCACCAGCAAGTCACAGCCCAGTGCTCGAGCTGTATAGTCATCTATACAGCATGCGCCGTATGTCACATCTCCCATGATAACTGTCTCAATGCCGGGGCAGAACTGGTTCAGGATGTCTGAAATTGTAGTGGCGAATAGCAACAAGCCCTCCGGAAACTGGAGGGCCACTCGCTTAGCTCCTGACGAGCGTATCCTGTGTATAGTCTTGGGTATTTCAAAGGAGTAATTGTGTGGGAGGAGGGAGATGGCGGCTTTGATATCTTCATCTTCAAGGATCTCAGCAGGGATCTGGTTCAGCGCTCGCGGGCCTCGTCTTGTAGATGCTGCACATATCATCGGCTGTTAGTTTACATATGTAATGCACCGCAGTCGCGGTAATCAGTCTTCCAACGAGCTCTCATACCTGTCTGTATAGCTGTGGTGTGCGACTGCTCGACATCCTCCCCTCCAGTCCTCTGCGCCTGTGCCTCTGCAGTCTTCCGCCCTACAAACCGCTTCTTCGGCACTCTTGTTCCGTTTGTCTGCGGCACCGCCGGCGCACCACTTCCATCCTTATTATCTGCCATCTCATCGCCCCTTTTTAACGACTTCACTCCCTCTCTCTCTCGTGCTTCTTCTGCTTCTTCTGCTCGTCGTCTTCAACTTTTTCTCTTATCTCCCCTCTATCAGCGGCTGAGTCAATGCTGAGTCAATCACTTAGTCATACATTACTAACCTGGCTAAAGGCGGCGTCAAGTTCTTCCGCGATCGGCTAGTCCAGGCGGCCGCCCAGGATGTTTTCAACATCGGAGCAAAATAGCCGAAGTCGGCCGCGAGCGCCGGCGACGCGGAAGAAGAAAAGAAAGCAGACGAGCAGCGGACGAGCAGACAGTTCAGACCGACAGCCAGAAGGAAAGCACCGTTACTCTGCATTGTTTACCGGAGACTGATGCGCATAGGGAGAGTGACCATGTTCGGACTCAGAGCTGCCTCCAGGGCATCCCACCTGGCCTGTCGTCGCGGTGCAGTGCGGTCTCTGGCTACCGAAGCCAAACTTGCTCCCGATTTTGTTCGCATCGTCGAGGTTGGCCCCAGAGATGGCCTGCAGAACGAAAAGAAGTCCATTCCGCTCGAGACGAAGCTGGAGCTGATCTCCAGACTTGCTGGGACCGGCCTCCAGACCATCGAGGCCGGCTCGTTTGTGCCCGCGAAATGGGTGCCCCAGGTGAGTCTTATGCTCGCGTGCTATATCTACTTCCCGATGGATCTACTAGAAACAGGCCGGCTAATGGTGGAATGTATTCAATTTGCTTTGCTAGATGGCCAGCACAGCTGACATTCTATCACATCTCACCAAAACCCCGCCCTCCGCCCCCCACCCGATCTCATACAACTACCTGGTCCCCAACGTGAAGGGCCTCCAAACACTGGTTAAAGTGCTCGAGAAAGAGACAGCTGCCCTGCCAAAGCAAGCCCGTCCAACGGAGCTGCCCGAGATATCCCTCTTTGCCGCTGCCACCGAAGCCTTCTCCAAGGCCAACACCAATTGCACAATAGAAGAGTCTCTCGCCCGAATTGGCCCGATAGTCTCGCTGGCAAAGGAGAAGAACATCCGCGTACGAGGCTATGTCTCTGTTGCGCTTGGATGTCCATATGAAGGACCGGATGTAGACCCGCACAAGGTCGCTGAGATCACTGCCTCGTTGCTGGAGATGGGTGCCGACGAAGTCTCCGTGGCCGACACGACAGGCATGGGAACCGCTCCAAGGACACAGAAGCTACTGAGGACCCTCTCTGCTGCTGGAATTGCCACCAATGACCTCGCATTGCATTTCCACGATACCTACGGCCAGGCTCTGGTAAACACCATTGTCGGCCTGGAGCACGGCATACGGATATTTGACAGCAGTGTTGGCGGCCTAGGAGGGTGCCCGTACTCTAAGGGTGCTACCGGAAACGTCTCAACGGAAGATCTGATCCATACCCTGCACAGCGTTGGAATGAAGACTGGCGTTAACCTCGAGGCAGTAGCAAAGATTGGAGCTTGGATCAGTGCTGAGCTCGGTCGTGAGAACGATAGCCGAGCCGGGAAGGCAACCGTCAGCAGGCTTCAAGGATAGATGATTTATTTATTTATGTAATGTTGCAAGCCCCAGTCATCATAATCTCGCCCCATCTACCACTTTGTTCGATGAGAAATGTCCTTGTCCTCGCTTTCATACCTTAAAATCCCCTTCATGATTCACGGATGATGTCCTGGGCCAGCAGATTGTATATAGTTAAGAACAGACGATTTCCATTGCAGTGTATGCAGTCTATTCATCTTCCCATTCCTGCTCGAGTACGCAATAATTTACATGGCGGTAGTATCGAGTTTCACCACCGCCGGCATCCCCCCAGTGCCAGACTTCCGAATCTCTATCAAAAATCTGTAACCCTGCCGTTATAACTCCAGTCTCCGCTCCCGCCCCATCTCAGCGGCTCATTCTTCGGCCCTCCAATCTCGCCAGTCTTTGGATTCTTGTCTCCCTCGAACTCCGGCTTTGCACCCCGGCGAAGATCTGGATGTAGCTCTTCATCTGCCGAGCTCTGGAGCACCTCTTCTGGCTGAGACTGGGGGGACTGGTTTATCCGAGGCGTTGATCGCGGTGTGCTGAACGCTCCGGTGGACTGCTGCTGCAAATTTTCGAATATCTCTTGTTCTTCGGGGGCCAGGCGAGGAGGTGACGGTGTGGGAGCGAAGCGGCTGTGTTTAGAGGATCGCGCGGCCGAGACTGTGAAGCTTCGTGCAGCCGGGCTGGGAGTGTATATAGCTCTTAATACCGAGGGAAGACGGTATCTCGCAACGCCGGCCATGGTGCTAGCACTGCCGGTAGTCTCTGCGTGGTCGTGGTATAATAACGTTGTTGGTTGTGTTGCCGTGAAAGCTGCGAATGGAGCAAAATTGCGAGTGGAATCGCCGAAATCGGGATCTCCTGTTTTTCCGAGTCATCTCCAGCTCCAAATTTATAGAAGAACCAACTCGCATTCTGACGGACAAAATAGCAGAATTGCGTTCGCCTGGTGGTTTACGTCTTGTTTCCAGGCTGTTCTAGGCAGCTTCTATACAGTACAGGCGAACTGTGCGGGTTGAGGGCGCGATGGCTTCTCGAGCAGCGCTGCGACGGGTAGGAGGAGCTAGAGCTCTGCAGCATGGGGCCAGCCCCCTGTCGCGACGGCGGTGGGCTTCGACAGCTTCGAGTCCGGAGGTTGTGGACCCTTTCAAGAGCAAGCCTTCTAGCACAGTGACCCGGATAGTGAGTTGTGTTCTGCCCTGCGGCTGTTCTGGTGGTTGATGGTTGATATACGGAGTACTGACTGGTATGACTAGGAACATGACGACCTGCCAGGCAACCTGTCCAAGCGGAGTGACCGCTTCATCGAGGGCATCATGCCGTTTATGGTGCCTACATACGCTCGACCAACGCCAGTGATGGCCAGGGGAAGCGGTTGTTACCTATGGGACATGGAGAATAAGCAGTATCTCGACTTCACAGCCGGCATTGCGGTCACATCTCTCGGCCATTCAGACCCAGGACTGTCACAGGTCCTATCAGAGCAGGTGAATAGAACGCCCTATTGGAGTGTATGGATCATACGAGGGGACATGAGACTGATTGCAAAGCTAGTCTGAGATACTGATACATGCATCCAACCTCTTTCACAATAAGCACACCGGTAAATTGAGCCAGGCACTTGTCAGCACTACTCTGACCTCAGGTGCAATGCGGACGGCCACCCAAGCGTTCATTTGCAATTCTGGAACCGAAGCCAACGAAGCAGCTCTCAAATTTGCTCGGAAGGTAGGCCATAGCCTCGACACTACAGGCGCAAAGCATGAAATAGTCTCCTTCCAGGGATCCTTCCACGGCCGAACGTTTGGTGCTTTATCTGCTACTCCAAACCCCAAATACCAGGCTCCTTTCGCTCCCATGGTCCCCGGATTCAAGTATGGAAAATACAACGACATCGAACAGCTCCCAACCCTAATCACGGACAAGACGTGCGGCGTCATCGTCGAACCTATCCAGGGCGAGGGCGGAGTGAACGTTGCCTCCGCGGAATTCCTTACAGCACTCCGTGCAAGATGCGACCAAGTCGGAGCGGTGCTGATCTTCGACGAGATCCAATGTGGTCTCTCTCGCACAGGTAGCCTCTGGGCACACGCTCACCCTTCACTCAGGCCAAAGGATGGCTCCAAGCCCGCTCACCCAGACATCCTCACCACCGCCAAGGCACTTGGTAACGGTTTCCCCATCGGTGCCACGATCATTTCCTCTGATACAGTAGGGAAATATATCAAGGTTGGAGACCATGGAACTACTTTTGGCGGAAGTCCACTTGCCTGTGCCGTGGGTAACCATGTATTGACCCGTCTGGCAAACAAGGATCTCCAGGATTCTGTTAACTCTAGATCCCAAACCCTCATCAAGGGGCTGAAACGGCTTCAGGAGCGGTATCCCGATGCTGTATCTGAGATTCGGGGTCGAGGTTTAATACTTGGCTTGCAACTTACCGCTCCCTATATCAGCAAGGTTTCCGATATCCTTGGGTCTGCAAGGGATAAGGGGCTGCTCATTATATCTGCTGGAGAAGGTTGTATTCGTTTTGTTCCACCGCTAGTCATCACCGACGCGGAGATTGAGGTTGGGCTGGGCATCTTGGACGAAGCAATGAGTGAGGTTGCGAACAAGGCGTAGCGTCACTATATTTCCGCGGATGGACCATCGGTAGTTATTCTGTACTTTTTCAAATTTCATGCTCCCCTTCGCACTTGTTAGATAGATCATCTGGATACTTAGATATATGTCAATTTATAAGAGAAACCTTGCCATATCAATCTATGTCCCCATCAATTGCAAAATAGCCTGACCATCAAAGGCCATCTATAGGTATCATCAACATGGAAGAAATATGTACATAAAAATAAAAATCATGAATAATCATGGAGTCTTTGCTTCTTCTCCTATACCCATAAGCCCGCCAGCCAACCCGTCCATCCGTCTGTTCAGTAAATCTTCATGGCTCGGCAAACTCGTCAAACTTGCTTCACGTCGTAACCCTGATATCATCTGTCTCATCCGCACCAAGTCATTCTCACTGTGGCTTGCATCGTCCGAACTACGCAGGCTTTCCTCCTTCTTGGCTGGAAGGGGCGTAAGAGATAATTTTGCAGCATTCGCTCGCCGTACATTTCGTTTTGGCGCAGGAGCTTTCAGTTTCAGTGGTGAAGTGGCCGAGGCTCCATTTGGTTGGAAATTAGACTGTGAGGCTGGAGGCGAAGGAGATATCTTGGTCATTTTCAACATGCTAATTTCCAATGGCCCGTCTTCATCACCAGATGATTCACTTGTTAAGTGGCGTTCATGGTGACGGTGCCGTGTGCTTTCATCGCTCTGTTTCCCTGTCTCGACGTCTACCGTTGGTAGTGATGGGTTGAGACTGGGCACGACTCGTCGCCGCTGTGCGAGAGAGGCCTTAGATTCTCTCGCCTCATCAGAGCTAGAAGGATCAGTGGAATTGAAAATATCCGTTATCCACCTGGCAGTCCTGAATACATGCTTCCAGCCCTCAGGAAAAACCCCAACGATACTCATGAATCCGTGAGATATCCCAGGTATCAAAGTCACTTCAACATGCTCCTTTTCGTCAAACTTCTTCCCAGACTTCTCAAGACCTAATTCCTTTCGTTCACGGAACCGATGGAGTTTAGCTTGTCTAAGACGCCCAGCGAATATCACTGTATCGTCTACCAGAGGATCCCGTTCCCCTGTCATAAAGTAGGTCTTCGGAAATTGGGCTAGAAGAGCTTCTGGAGCAAGCATGGGAGAGAGAAGGAAATCTGTGCTGAAGTCTGGACGATTATAGGGGCCAATGTATAGTATTATCATAGCCCTCATCATCTCGGGGGTGAGGATGCGATCATTGACATAGGATATCATAGAAGTAACGGCAAGTCGAGTGTGCAGTTTCTTTGGTTTCGTTTCAGCTAACTCTTTCATTTTGGATGCAAGACTTGCATCTCCAGATTGACAGGCTATGTCAGTCGCAGCAGTGGAAGACCCCACGGCGGCATCAGATATATGTTTCGATCCTTCTTTTGTGGATGATTTGGAGTGACTAGTAGTATCATCTGCAAGGTCATCGTCTGAGGGACGAGGAGTCGACGGAGTCAGTTTATAGTAATCCTCACTCTTACGCCTCAGGATATTTCGATTGGTTTTTCGCATTCCCCTTTCTCTGATCAAAGACAACTCCTCGTCTGTCATCCAGCTTCCAATATTCAGATCTAGATTCGGGTACACCAGCACAAGGCCAACAGGAACCGGCAGGCAATCTTCACCTCTCCACTTCCGAGAGTCTGTACTGCCGGATTGAAGAATCATCAAAGTCAGCCCTGCTGCAAGACTTCCACCAGCGCTATCACCCGTCACAATAATCCGTGGGCATGTCTTCCCACTCAGTCCTAGACATCTCCCTCGACTCATCACAATAGTATGATATACATCGTAACACTCATTCAGAGCATATGGATATGGGTATTCGGGTGCCTTTTTGTAATCAAGACTGAGAATTGGAACACCCGTCTTGCCAGCCCAAGCAAGTAAGCGGTCATCACTGACCCGTGGGCCCATGGCAACGAATCCACCTCCAGGGATATCAAGGACGATATCCGTCTGGTCCCGAAGACTGCTAAGAGGGCCATCAAAATAAAGCCATGCGTCAACCGGGTCCTTGTATGATGACTCCCGGGGTCGTGGTATCCGGATGGCAACTGGATCGCGCCGACAGAAACGGGGCCGAAGTATCCTTGAGAGAAATGAGAGGTAAGGGGTAGCCAGCTTATTCCATGAGACACGCAGATGCTCTACGGTCAAAGTAGCTCTGACTTTTCGCACCTTCTCATCCGCCTGTTCAGCTGCGAAAAGGTAGTATACAGAAAAGACTAGCGAGGCCAGATCCCTTAGCCATTTCCGGCGTATGTACATTGCAGTCCAAAACCCAGCATCCAGCGCAGTGACTATCCAGGTTGCCCTGAAGTAGGAACGAGAGTATAGATTCGCAAGGGGCTCTGGGGACTCCAAACCGACCAGTTTGGCAAAGTTGCGAGAGACATATAGCGTCAACATGGTCATGACAGTGGCCTGCCATGGTGTCATACGCCGATGCAGCAGCGACGATAGAGTTCGTACCCCTGGAGGACCATTCTTGTTTCCCCTGATATGATAGAGGTACAGTTAGATACGGATCTTGTAGGAAAAACAGGACCCCATGGTCATTCAACATACTTTAGAAGGTATAATAGCCAAAAGGCAACAACTGCAAAGACCTGGATCTTTCGGAACTGAGTGGAAGGCCTGCCTAGTACATGGTCTAAAGGAGAAATTAGATACTGATAGCATTCACAGAATAAAACAAAGGGGTACATACCTATCATGACTTCAACATACCTCTACCAACCATCAAAACCAGAGGTAATATATCCAAAAGAAAAGTTATACCGACAATGAAGGACCGTAGTTTGAATCCGAAGTTTCCGGGAATGAAGCATCACCGGCCGTGGAAGCAGACAGACTGAACAAAGACAATAGAATTAAGTAATATGAAATGTTTCCAGCTTTCTCTTACCCGCGCCAACTCCAGAATAGCAACCGTTTCGTCTTCAGCCTCAAGTTTTCCATCTTGGGCGCAAAATCCTTTGAAATGCGATTCTTTTGTCGTAAAGTCGAAGGATTTCACATGCTCGCGCATGTGAAAACTGCCGGGCATGTGATATCGAACATGACGTCACATCGCGATCACAAATTATCAAAACGGGGGATAAATATCCCAATTTATTGCAAATATATTTGGTAATGCAGTATTAAATATGAGATTGTCATATTTTAAAAAATAGATTCCAAAAATATATATATATATATATATATCACTGACGCCGTCGCTAAGCCAAACACTACCAAGGCCTTCTGCGAAAAAGGTAAAATAGACGCCAAAGTCTATGTCTTCTTGCAATAATCTCGCCCATGGGAAACCTGCCAGTTACATAACCAGACTTCAAAAACCATACTCAACATACCTGCAATGCAAATGCCTGCCGAGTCACTGACGGTGGTTGCACCCAAAGAAAATTCTCGTTCCTCCTTTGGTACGCGATCCGTGATCTCTGCGAACGTATTGACGTATACCAATCCGCCTAGGAGACCCTCCCAAAAAACAATGAGGAAGACAATGTAGACGTTTGGGATGAAATTGAACAGTGCATGCAGGGTCAGTAGGCCGAGATTGAATACTTGGAGAAATGATGGTAAGTACAGGTCGTGGATGCGGAAGAAGGGGGTTGAGGACCGCGAGATGAACACTCCGACCTGATAGATGGCGTTATATGTTGGGTAGAAGGCACGGAAGTGCTTAAAAGGACTTTCCTGGAGTGGGAAGAGGAGTGTAGGCGCGACGCCTTGGTTGATTGTGTACTCTGCAATATAGACAAGCAACAAAGGAAACATACTGTGGCGCTTCGTTAGTAGGTAGTACCGAAAAACTGGGTGGTTGGGCTTACAATGGGAAGAATAGACTCTTAGCACGGTTCAGATTCGCCTTGAAAAGCTGCCATGATAGGCCTTTATCCTGCGGAGGTGCATGTTTCAAGTCGTCAACATTGTCAGTGTCTGCAAGTACGCCATCGCTCCCATCATTAGTATGCGACGAACGCTCATCATCCAGTAGCCGCCGAACACCATCTCGCCTAAACTCTCCTCTCTCTACTTCTTGAATAGTCTGATACCCATTCCTGATCTGCAGCATCGGCCCCCTTGGTAGTATACCAAAGAAGCTTATCACCATCACTGCTGGTAAAAGAGCGGAAGCCAGGAGCGTGGTCTTGACAGAAAAGCCGAATGATGTAGTAGCCAAAGCATAGGCACCGGCTCCCACCAATCCAGCAGCGCCCGTTCCGCTACCCCATGCAGCCAAACTAAACGGTCCAAAAAAATGTGTAAGACCGAGAAAGCTGAGTTCTCCACCACCACTAGAGAGGCTTGCCAGCATCACTCCCACCATCTTGGCTGTTATCGAACTATTGGCAGTAGTTGCGTCATAGGCCGGCGACAAGGCAACCAGAAACATGCCGAGCGTGGATAATGCGACGAATATGAGGATGCGGATGGGATAAGGGACAATATGGATGAAATATGGAGCGCATAGCTTGGTGAAGAAGGACGGGACCACGTCTGCGAGCAGAACAACGCCCTTAGGGACACTGGGACCGACGAGATCGAGTGCCGCAGAGAGAATAATAACATAGAGAACATTATTTATCAAGCCTGCAGTATTGACGAGCGGTTAGAGATAACGTTCCATCAAAGAAGCAACGCTACATTTATTCTTACCGAATAGCCAAAAGGCCGTGAAGACTCGAGGGTCGACGCCGTTGAAGACTGCGGCGAGCTGCTGCCGGAACCTGCTCCAGCTGGAGTTCGGGGCGCATGGCAGAGGTAGCATCAGCGGCTCCAGCGTCTGCAGAGTATTAGATTATTCGAATAACAACAGCTGCTCCTCGTCTTCTCGTCATCTCACTTGGTTTGTCGTCAGTTTTGCTGCTAAAGTCGAAGTTGAGGTTGAAGTCGGCAAGTGATCATGTGAGGCGCGGACGGGCCGTCAGATGGAAAACTAAATCTCGACATATCAAACAACAACGACAACACCCAACTACATGCAGCAACAGAGACCAACGGCAACTGAAAGGTGAGACGACAGCTCCATAGGGAGCTCGATATGCCGTCTCCCGTGATGCTGTCAAACGCCAACAACCCATGCTGTGGAATCGGGCGTCATGATGCTGTCCACGCAACGCGGTGGAATGCGCTAGGGGAGCCTTCAGGTACAGACACACCCCTGGCGGTACATATTGTTACTATAATGTTAACTAGAATTGATAAGAATAGCCCTTATAGGAATAAAAGAAAGAGTTTCTCGGCCATGGTGCTATACTCAGCTTTTACCACGCTCCGAAGGCGGCTACTCGGAATGAGTTACTCTATGGATGTCATGGATATATTGCTAATGCCACGCTTTAGGCATTGATATGGCGTCACCGCACTCAAGGGAGAGCTGAAATTGCGGTAAGACGTGTGCACAGTATAGAAGGTTCATCAAGCTAAACGTAATTTAGCCGATGGAGAGAGATCATACATCAGCAAGTATTGCTGCAACACTATGCAGCTTGCCACTGGTGTGTGTAACAAACTGGCAAGAATAGCGACGAAGAGGAAGACCGGCCTCGTAGTTGATATGAAGCAGCACGCCAAAGGTACTACTGATGAAATAGGAGACGACCGGGGCAAGGGAGTTCAACCGGCGGGGGAACGTATCGCTATTTATCTCCGCATCACTAGACTACGGGGACAGAAAGACTCGGTTCGTCCTTGTGTTGCTGATGTCGTGGCGAGTGTGAACGCAGGGCAGATGTATGGGAGAACAGGGCAAGGGATGCCAGCATGCGGTCACCCTCGCCCCGGCGCGCAGTCCGGTTCTCCAACGTTCCGCAACGATCCAAGGGTTCCTTGCATCGATACAAGGTCTGTTGCTAGGAATCGTACGGAGTAAACGACTACGACCCAACCTGCTCCCTATCATTCAAAATACTAAGCACATGCTCTATTAGCAGGCCCCTCGCTACACCTATATATACATACATCCTATATGGTGTATGTTTGTTTATATATTGTTGGATCGCATCACTCTAGTGCTCGTGCATCAAAAACAGCTCTCAAGCGATCTGCAGGTGCATCGACCTATTCTGGGATCGAAAAGTTAAAAAAGAAAAAAAAGAAAGAAAGAAAAAGAAAAGAAAAGAAAGAAAGAAAAGGCTAAATCCGGTGGCCCTGCAATGCTAAAAAGATTAATCCCACCTGGTTCCATGTCGCGGATTTGATGCAAGTGTGTGCATCCCCTGGAACAGGTCGAATAATGGAGCGAATCAGTTGGCTCCGCACCAGTTCGGGCATCAGCAGGCCATCCAACCCCCATTGCACCGCGCAGGAATGCGGTGATACTTGATGTCGCTGGCATAAGCTGACCGGGGCGTCAGGCCCATGTCTGGCTGGGTCTTTATCGAACCTATACGAAACGAACATTCGACAGGGATCAAGCTAGGTTACCCGTTTAGTTAAATTTAGCGTCCTTCGGCGATGTGCTCAGGCTCCACAACCGGCTCTCGACAACGCAACAAACGAGGAAAAGAAACCATTGGCTCGAGAGTCCCCAGCTTTGTTCGAAAATGATTTCTTTCTGCCTGTTTGGCCGTTGTCAGCAGAGAGCTTGACAGCTTGAGCGTCCTTTGGTGCCACTCTTCGATTTCGGTTCCTTTTCTCTGTGCGGCAAGTTCCTGATACAAGCGTGGAGCAATACACCTAAAGCAGGAGTCCAAGACGGCCACCGGGCGATACTAGCTACCAGGGTGAACGGGTCGTAGGAACCTTCTGGCTTATATATGCCACACTGAGCACGGAGTAGCTTGTTGAGGTTTTGACTTGCTATTTGATTCCTCTGGCCACGGGGAGGCTACCAACTACACCACAGTGGAGGACAGCACAGAGTATATTCGTTGTAGGGATACCTGCACAAGCATATAGCTAACTATAGGCTAAGGCTAATATGCGGTGGGCTCCCTGCCGCATCGCTAACTCCACCAGGGAGCAGTGACAAGTTTGCCAGCCGCGGCTTGCATCTGCTGGTGTGTAACCTCCGCACTCTTCGTTTTTTTTTACCCTCCCTTTCTCGTCGTCCACTCCAGAAGCCATCTATCTCTCGCGCCATACTCCGAATTTTACTCCGTACTTCCATTTTCTTTGCCCGGCCGAACGGCCTGGTGCAAATCTGCAACAAGAGCTGAGTTACAAACCACACGGACGGTTCGAAGTCCGCAAGCAAAACCCAAACGAGGACCTGAATCCCCGATGTTGCGCGCGAGTAAACAAACAAACGGAATCGCAAGCTAAGGAAAAAGTCGAAGAGGATACTCCGTAAGTAAGGAAGAAAAAATAAAGAGCAAGAACAAAAAGAAATAAAAACGAGAAGAAAAGAAAAGAAAAGAAGGCAGAAGAAGAGCAGGAATTTAATAGGAGGAAAAAGAAAGGAGAAGGGGAGGCAGAAGGGAAAAAAGAAAAGCAGTCCTTACAAACTGCGCTGAAAATCTTTCGACCTGAAGCGGCGTTAGTTGGAAAACACGCTCAAGAACATATACAACTCCCCGGTTTCCCAATGGATCCGTCACAGTCAGCGTATGGCCTTCGACATTCGACGTACGGTAGGCCTCGAGAAGCCCACAGCTCGTCTCTTCCACCTCGACACTATCCGCCTTCCTCTACTCCAGCGAGCCATGCCCAACAGCCGCATTTCGACCCGATAGCGAGCTCACGGCGAGAATCAGGCAGTCACTTCTCACGCTCTGCACCGCCTCCAACCGCGCTGGCATACCCGTACTCCCAAGACAATAATCCACATTCACATACGCAGCACCAGTATCAGCATCAGCAGCAGCAGCAGCAGCAGCATCAGCACCATCTCCAGCAGCATCATGCGCCACGTCCAAGACCTGACGCCCCAACGCGTGAGCAGGCGGCTGGTAAGCTTGAAGCGGAGGAGCCAAAAGGTCTGCCTAACGGGGTGAGCGTACGTCGAGAAGGTAAGGCAATCCATATCTTGCTCCATTTCTATTTTTTTTTTTTTTGTTCTTGTTTTGTTTTATTCTATGCCATCTATCCCTCTGCATTAACATAGAGTTTTCTTCCTCTGGCCTGTTCCCGAGACGGCGGCTACCTTGATGTGCATTGCATTGCAGGCAAGGCCATCGCTGCTGGGTTTCTTCTTGCACTCCCAGCGCTGGAACGACAAGAATAATAAGCCACGAAACGCCTGGCGGCGGAAATGCTCTTTTTCTGCCAGCGGAGAGCGGAGAGCGGTGGAGATGGAGCTGCCCCCGCTCTCCGCTCCTTCCTCTTTCTCTCTCTTCCATGTTGCTTACCGCCCTCCGCCCCTTCCTGTTCCTTCCTTTGCTTGTTTTTGCACACTCCGCCATTCGTTCTTTCCCCCTTTCGAAGTCTTGGCACGGCTCTCCCCCCCCGATGGTCCGTGCCGACAGCGCTAGCCACTTAAGGTTTAAGCTCGCTAGTCTGCTTCAGGCGCATAAATGCTTGGCATTTTTTAGCGCTGGTCCCGTGACTCGGACTTTTCCTTTCCCCAAAGTTGTTTTTTTTCCTTCCGCTCGACGGAGTAGCAAGTCGAAAGCACGAAAGAACTGACACGACTTTTTTTCGCTGATGGTTTCGCCGCGTGCCAGGTCCGTCGTCAATTCCACGAGAGATGCCTCATCCGCCGCAGCAACACGATCAGGCTCGCAGGAGATCAGTGGGCAGTGCTGGCAGCTCGTCTGCTTATTCAGGTAAGACTGAAACCCGAACGCGACTAAAAAATCGCCTCTCTCCAGCGAAAGACAACCAGACGAGGAAGAAGAAATACCCGCACCGCGCTTCTGCGTCCACGGGGACTCGTCGCATATATTCATTGGCCCCGGACTTGCAGTTCTACCCCTGGATGTGGTCTTTCGTTATATATGTTGAGAGGACAGTTACTATTTGGGGGGATTTTGGGGATGACGCCAGGCAGCTAATCCGCTTCTTTACCCAGGCCATCCGGAACAACACACCGCCGCAAGCTCTTATTCTAGCCGTCAGATGCTTCCTCCGTCCTCACCACAGCACTACCCTAGGGGATCAGCTGCCCAACCCTCTCAGCCACCTTCAATACCGCCATCCTTTGCCTCTCGAGAACTCATTAACCCAGTCCACCGGCCGGGAAGTAGCATGTCAATATCGTCGATGCTAGGTTCAGATACAGACCGTCAGCCGCGGGAGAGTACGAGCGCGGTCTATTCGCGGCCTACGGCATCAGCTTCCACCGCGCCGGCACAACAGTCTACTTCGCTACCACCTTCCATGTCACCACCTTCCGGTCCTAGTCGACAGTTGTCGTCAGATTATCCTCCTTTCCGAAGATCACATACGCCAGACAGCGGTCCATTTTCGAAGACGCTCACTCCCCGGCCTTACCGGTCAAGATCCGGAGGCAGTTCGTCCGGGAATCCCCAGCTAGCACCCGATGATTCACGGTTTTCTGGACCTCGGCAGCCATCCAACGCACCCCAACCACAGCTTACAGCTCCTCGATCCCCCCGAAATACATACTCGGATTCATCATATCACCAAGACCGACGGATGAGTCTTGGAGGCCCTGTGCCACGAGCCAACCCTCCGGGACCCCATCACCGATCAGAGGAACCACCATCGCGACCACCGTTGTTCAGTCCCCCCGTCAGACTGGCGCCTGGATTTTCAGATGGGGTGCAGAAGGAGACAAGTGGCCAACGGGAGCAGCATGGGTACCCGGGTAGTTTAGAACCCCCTCCGCGACCATCATCTAGGTTTAGTAATCCCTCCCAAGATCGACAGGAACCTCGAGACCAGCAACCCTATCAACATGGTATCCAGGAACACACTCATCACCACCATCACCACCACCATCACAACCAAAGTTCACAGTCTCAACCTCAACCTCACCAACACCAATCACAACGATATGGATCTCATGCCCCAGAACACGAAAGCGACCGATCTCACCGCTCATCTTGGGAATCGAACTACCCTCGCGTTTCTCCTGAATCAACCCGCTATAGCACCGCAGAGCCCGCTTCCGGCTACGGCTTTGGGTCTATTCAGAACTACACAAAGTCTCTAGGCTCTCAATTAACAGCTCCACGCTCCATCCCCGGTCAACCCCCCATATCTTCACGCCAAGACGCAACACCCTCGAGCGATTCGTCGCCGATTATGAGTCGGAGTCGACCTCCACCATCGAATCCACCGCGCATGTTTTCGCCTACACCAGGTTCTACCGGTCCCCAATCATCGTTCGGTGGCTCGTTTGCGGATGAAGGGCGGACTCGCGGAGGCACGGAGGAACCCCCTCATCATAAAAATGTGCTGAATATAAATGCAGAGGCGAAACGGGGTGGTAGGGCATCTCCGCTTCCACAGGCAGTACAAGGCGCCCAAGCCCAGATCATCGACCCGGCCACCGAATCAGGCATAAAAAGCGAACTGGGTCGAGTGTTCTCTGGTATTGGCAGCGGCGTTGGAGTATCCAGCTCGGCATCACTGGGGGGAAGCGGCCCTTCAACTCCGTTATCATCAAGTCCGTTCAAGAGAAACCATGGTGATCGACCGATGAATTCAGATCTTAATGGAGAGGGCTCGTTCGGTGCCGGAAAAGGCACAGCTTCTGCGCCGGGAAGTGTCAGGCGCGGTCGAAAAGTGAAGGAGGAAGAAGTCAGGGAAGACGGAGAGGGTATTGGGGCGGCGGCTCGTGGAGGAGTTGCAAGAAGAGGACGGCATGTACACCACCACCATCATCATCACGGCGGCCATCAGTAAGTGTTGCTTAGCCAAGATATGAAATTCAATTTGGTATTTGTTGCTAACCTATGCGACTAGTCACCATCATAGACATCGGGCAGACGACGACCCATCTCTCTTTACAGGAGGCCAAGGCCCGCAGCTGGCAGCACCTTTTAGACCTCAGTCGCGCACTGGAGATGGCCCTGCTGTATCTGGAGCTGTTGGTGCCTCACACCACCACCACCACCACCATCACCATCACCATGGCCCGAGAGCGGCAGCTCCTGGCAGTGGTATCCCGCATCACCACCATCCAACTCCTCCTGCCGTGCCTCTCAAGGAGTACAACACCACAGTGAACCTGGAACCACTGTTGAAAAGTGTTGCACATCTTCCTCGCTACCATCTAGGCTCTACACTCTATGCTCCACGCATTGAAATGCCATCTTCCCGAGCACCACCCGAAGCATCCAAATTTGGATATACCTCTACTCCCGTACCGATCCCACGGTTCGATGGGAAGGAAAACTGCACTTTCACGATCCGTGTACCTCGATTTCGGATAGACTCAAGCCATCGTGAAGAAATATGTGCACGCCGTGCCTTATGGGGAACTGGTGTGTACACAGACGACTCTGACCCGGTGGCAGCAGCCATCCATTCGGGATTTATTCGAGGCGAGTGGGCTGAAGATGTTGATGTGTCAATGTTGAACCTCGAGCTGAAAGACAACCGCAAGTCTTCCTCCACAACTGTCACTGCTAATGTCAATGGCACGGCAGCCAATGGAAAGACAACGCCATCCTCCAACAGAACTCCATCTGTTCATAGCAATAGCACTAGATCCGACCCAACCTCAACTGCTCAATCAGAGGCTCCCCAACCGCCGCCTACAGCTGCCGACCCAGTCGAAGGCAAGCAGCTTCCCCCGATACCGCCGCCAGACAAGGACCTTCATATCAAGCTTCTGATTCTTCCCACGTTGGAACGCTATGAGAGTAGCGTGATGTACGGCCTGAAGTCGCGTTCCTGGGGCAAAAACCATGACGGAATGAGCTTCAAGGTAGAAGAGATCTCCTGGGTGGACGAGGGTGCATCCAAGGGCGAGGAAAGGGGGGGAGAGGCCCGTCGTAAGAGGCTGCGAAACATGATGCTCACCGGCCGTATCTGCACTCCCGCTGGTCTCAAGGGCCGCAAGGGCGTTGAGCTGCACCTCTCTTCAAACCGAGACCCCGACACGACCATGAAGGACGCAGACGAGCCCCCTACCATTCAAACATCAACATCGACCGCCGTGGAACCCGTTTCCTGATATCGCCCGTTTCCTTTACTTTCTTGTTCATATTTCTGATAAATATCCGTTATTCTGCAAGCGACATCATCTTGTTTACCAGTTCATCATCATCCAGCTATTTTCCACTATTTTTCCATCCGTATTTTCCTCTACATCTTGTTGTCATCGTCTCTTTCTCCTTTTTTTCCCTCCTTTTTCCTTGTGAAGTATATAAAAATTGTATTACTAATAAGGTTTTCAACCAGCCGAGGTTCGGAAGTTTTTTTCGGCGAAAAGTCAGGTGACCCGGCAAGTTGTTGGCCATTTTATTACTATTATTTTCGAGTAAAAAAAGGGAAAAAGTACTTTGTAATGGCGATAAAGGGTGTGAAGTCGATGTTGAAGACGACGTAGTTGTACTCCGTAGTTGGGTAGAAGATGCAGAAAGCCGCCGTCATGTTATCTGGTCATCTGGTGTGGCGCAAAGGCGCCCTGCACATAATTCCTTTTTCTCCCTCCCAGCACTTGAGCCGAGGATGAAAGGAAGGGAGAGCCGCAGCTCTTCTCATAAAACACTTGAGTTCAGCTCCATCGAACCTCTGCCTCTTCTTCCTCTTCTGCCTCTTCTGCTCTTCCACTGGCAGACTCACCTTGATACTTGAATCTTTCCCACTAGACCGCTCGATCACCTGGGAATGTTCACTGCTGCTGTAAGAGGCCGTCTGTCAGCTCTTGGACGTGCTTCCGCGACCCGCCCCTCTCCCCGTCTCACAGTATGTAGTTATTCCCCCCTAGTCTTGCTGGTTGTCTGGCCCGCCGCAAGTCTACTTCTAGACAAAGAAGCGGGCCGTTTGAGTTACTCTTGATGGTCTAACATGCTGGCTATAGTCTCTGCAAACAATGGCTCCTCGACGTGCTGCCTCCTCCGTACCAGCAGGTGAGTGGGAGATCAGACAAATTTGCGCCGGATGAGAGGGATGCCAGGCTAATATTGCATTGATAGGGTACAAGGAGGACTTGTCAAAGGGGAAGATGCTCCGTTTTGAAGACTCGCTGCCGAAGCTGCCTGTGCCCACCTTGGAGGAGACTGGACGGCGGTATCTTAAGTCGGTGCACCCGCTGCTCTCCGCTGAGGAGTACAAGACGACAGAAAAAGCCGTATCAGACTTCATCAAGCCCGGTGGTGAAGGCGAGGTCCTGCAGAAGCGCCTAATTGCTCGAAGTGAGGACCCCAAGACTGACAATTGGCTGTACGAATGGTGGAATCAGAGTGCCTACCTTGCCTACCGTGACCCGGTTGTACCATATGTCAGCTACTTCTACTCGTACCGGGACGACAGACAACGACGGGACCCAGCTAAGCGAGCTGCTGCCATCACCACCTCTGTACTGGAGTTCAAGAGACAGGTCGATGATGGATCTCTTGAGCCAGAGTACCTGCGCAAGGAGCCCATGGCCATGAGCTCGTACCAGTACATGTTCAATTGCTGCCGTATCCCAGCCGACGGCGAAGATTATGCGCAGCAGTACCCGGCCAAGGGGAATGAACACATCATTGTCATGCGCAAGAACCAGATGTTCAAGGTTCCCACCACAGTCAATGGCCAGCAGCTCAACACCTCCGAGTTCCAGAAACAATTCGAAACCATCATCAAGAAGGCTGAGCGAGTTCCAGCCGTAGGGGCCCTGACTTCCGCCAACCGCGACTTCTGGACTGCTGCCCGGAAGAAACTCCTGGCTGCCAGCCCTGCCAATGAGGAGGCCCTGAAGACCATCGAGAGCTCCTCGTTCTTCGTCTGTCTCGACGATGCATCTCCCGTCACCCTTGAGGAGCGTGCCCATGTCTACTGGCACGGAGATGGCGCCAACCGCTGGTATGACAAGCCACTCAATTTCGTCATCAACGAGAACGGCACAGCCGGATTCCTCGGCGAGCACTCCATGATGGACGGTACCCCTACTCACCGTCTCAACGACTACGTCAACCAGCTCATCTTCAGCAATGCTCTCGACTACTCCAACCCATCTATCCGCTCCAACCTCCCCGAACCCCAGCCCATCAACTTCGAGCTCAACCCTGCTATCCTTGAGGACATCTCCACTGCTACCAAAGACTTCGAAGCCCTCATCAACAAGCATGAGCTTCGTGTCCAGGCCTTCCAGGCCTACGGAAAGGGTCTCATCAAGAAATTCAAATGCAGCCCAGACGCCTACGTCCAAATGCTCATTCAGCTCGCCTATTTCAAGATGTACGGCAAGAACAGACCTACCTACGAATCCGCCTCGACCCGCAAGTACAAGCTGGGCCGCACCGAAACCACTCGTTCCGTATCAGACGACAGCGTGGCCTTCTGCAAGGCTCAGGCAGACCCATCTGTGTCGAGGGAAGAGCTCGTTAAACTATTCCGTGCCGCTGTTGCAGCCCATTCCAAGTACACGGCTGAAGCCAGCGTTGGAAAGGGAGTTGACAGACACCTCTTCGGGTTGAAGAAGCTCATTCGCGACGGAGAGGAGGTTCCTTCGCTCTTCAAAGATCCCACATACGCTTACAGCGGCTCCTGGTTCCTAAGCACTAGCCAGCTTAGCTCTGAGTACTTCAACGGATACGGATGGAGCCAGGTCATTGATGAGGGCTTCGGAATCGCCTATATGATCAACGAGAACAGGTATTTATTCCTAATAGCTATACTTACTAGTGATACATGAACTAACATGGTTCGCAGCCTCCAATTCAACATCGTCTGCAAGAAGATCGGCGCAGAGAGGATGAGCTTCTACCTTAACGAAGCTGCCTGTGAAGTCCGAGACATGTTGATGCCCGATCTTCTCAAGGAGAGCGAAAAGGCCAAGCTGTAGAGAAGGCCCTATACATACACTTAGACTTATATTGTTCCGTGCATTTCCTGAGACTACGCGGAGTTCAGGCTTCGGTACGAAAAAAAAGGGGGTGCTACATATAAGCCATCACTTCTGTACAATTTAGGTGCTCTTTATTCTTGATCTTTTTTATCACTATATACAGCACATACATAGCAGTCTTTTCTACCGTTAGCCAATCCAATTCCTCATAGACCGTGATTCTCATGGCTTCAAATGGTAAATTCTTCATTGGGTCCTTTGCTTGCTGTACGAGTTGGGGGGTCTCTATTTAATACATGTTCTCGCGTCATAAACTTCGAAGAGAACTGCAAGACGCAGATATCTCTCTCGGAAAGGTATCGATAAAGTCTTGAGACCACTCTCGGCTATCCATTCCGGCCAAATCATCAATTTCCATGGTGGCAGCAGCATCAAAAAAAACAGGTCAAAAGATAAGAAATATTCCTGTAATGTTACATGATTCACTTGTGGTTCCCCCCAATTTTTTTTTTTTTTTTTTTTTTTTTTTTTTTTTTTTTTTTTTTTTTTCCCTTTTTGCATTTTTGCTTTGTTATTTTAGATCCCATTCACAGGTCTCGTTTAGAACCTTTTTGTTGTACTATTGGCAGTCCCAATGTACTAAGGGGGATCACATTTCTCCTTGCTGCTTATGTAGACGCGTAACATGCGTGGTAGTTAATGCGGGAACGCCTTTTTCACCTTTAATTTCGCTCAAGGTGTTATTTCTTTTCATGGTCCAGCGCCCTCCTGGACTGTTGGTGTCTGCGGGTTGCTCTCAGTAGCAGCATCAGTTACAGCAGCAGAGGTAGTAGCAGACGCGGCAGGAGTTGGCTGAGCACTCTCACTTGGCTGGGTTGCTGGTGGCGATGATTGGCTATTATTAGCAGTCAACTCGGCTACTTGTCGCTCTGTAGATCGATATTAGCAATTATATTAATGCATAAAATGAGATGTGAAGTAGCGTACCTAACTCCCTAATGCGAACCTTGAGCATCTGATTCTCTCTAGACAAAGCAGCTGTCTCAGCTTGGTAGTAAGAGTTTTCATCTCTGCTGCCTCGACGGCCGTTAGACTCTGAGAGTTGGAGCCAGTCATTGCTCCCCGCGCTAGTGCCGGTCTCTCCCTGGGCCCCGGCAGGGTGAATGGAGGTAAGCGGGGACATGGCAGCGTTCGAGCCCCGTCGGGCAGAGAGGTTAGACCCAGTAGGAATGGGGATTCGCTGGCTCGCAGCAGGTAGCGGTGGGATAGGTGGGAAGGAGAATGATCTCTCTGAGGTGGGAGTTGAGTCATCGATGGCTGTCCCGCCGCCTGCTGCGGTCTGCTGCTGTGATTGAAGCTGCTGCAACTGGGCTTGCTGGTTGCGAATCATCAACAAGAGTCGATTCTATGTGAAGAGAAGAAAAAGTAAGTATGACGTGTATCATGGGTAAACAAGATAGGTACGCTGTATGTCTTACAACTTGAGCTTCCTGTTCCTGCTCAAGCTCCTGGTGCAGCTCGCCAAGTGAAGGGGCACGCTGATGGTGGGGGTCTCCAGTAGCAATCACAGGGCTTCCAGCAATGCTGGTAGGACTATGAGTTCTGAAGGCACTCCCAAACGAGGAGCGATTGTGTCTATTCTGAGGAGACTCGGTGCCGGTAGGGTCAGAATGGGAGGCTTCGTGGAGATTGGCAGCTCCAGACCGGCGACGCTCAGAGAGTCTTGCCTGAGGTGAGCCGCGGTGGGCTCCAGAGGAGGAACGGCGAGACAAGTCTGCTGCCGCATTCATCGTTGCTGTGGCCTGTAGCGAGATCGACGAGGATCGGGGCGAAAGCGAGTGCGCGAGGCTGCCGTTGCTGCTATCCATTGACAGGCTGACTCTGCGAGTGTGGTGAGGAGAAGACGGCGTGGATGGAGGGAGTGAATTTAGATCAGGCGGCATGTCAGCTAGTGAAGCTGGTCTCGTCGCGAGGCGTGGGTCGAGTGAGGCGTCCGCTGTCAGGACACGAAACGCTTCATGTCCTCTTCGCGTCCTTCGTCGAGCTGGCAAAAGTCGAAGTGAGAGAAAGAAAAGAAAAGAAAAGAAAAAAAGAGTCGAAGTTGAAGCTCGCAGGTTTCCCTTTTAGGCAACCAACGTCACGAGATCTCCGTTGCTCTAGCTTATGTAAGCCTGTTACGTCATGATGCTTTATCAGTTGTGCGGCTGCAGAGACGCATAGACGGCGCAGACAGAGGCAGATACGGGCTGGAGGATGGAAAGCCGACGAAAGGCAGGCTGGCAGAAGGTAGAGACGCAGGTTGCTGGTTTGCTAGCTGTCCATCCCTGCTGGATAACTATAGAGCACGCACATATGCATTATTAATTTGTACTACACCGTTTGATGGAGACGTCTATAACTATAGCATGCCCACCAAGCCGTGGGGTGAAGGACGCGCGCTAATTAGTATATTATTAGATTACCCGGACATCCATTCGCGAGGACGGCTAGTAATGCAATATTAATGCGTCAAACTGCCCAGGCGCCGGGCTCTGATTTCATATCACATGACAAGATCGGATCAGATTAGATTAACTGTAAAGTTTTGTCTTGGCATTTCTTATCTGATTAATAATTCCGTCACTTTTTTTACGAACTCGCAAAAGCCGAAGCGAAAGAAAGATTTGAACAGTCACAAAACGATGGAGCACAGCTCTTAATAAACAATGTCATTCTTTGCCCGTCAAAGGCCGAGTGCTCGGCTTGGCCGGTGCCTGAGCCGATGCCTCAATCGCTCGATACAATGGTCCCAATACAGCAGTGCAGCGGCGTCACGGCCCTTCCGCGTTGCGGTAATTGGCTCTGGGCCAGCCGGGTTCTATGCTGCTTATAGGTTAATGGGAAAGGTTCCGGAGGCCATTATTGATATGTACGAGCAATTACCAGTGCCATTCGGTCTGGTACGCTATGGTGTTGCTCCAGACCATCCGGAAGTCAAGGTAGGCCGCATTCGGTCCGGAAGGTTTCAATAGCTAACAGGAAATTGGCTATAGAACTGTCAAGATAAATTCACCGAGGTTGCAACGTCTCCACGATTCAATTTCATTGGAAACATTGAACTGGGTGGCGGTCTCCCACTGAACTCTCTGAAACCACATTATGACGCCATTCTCTTCTCCTATGGAGCTTCCAAAGACCGTGAGCTAGGTCTGCCAAACGAAAGATCGCTTTCAGGAATTTTCTCCGCTAGGGCCTTTGTTGGATGGTATAATGGATTACCAGAATATAGAAATCTGTCGCCCGATTTAGCTAGCGGAGAAGATGCAGTTATAATTGGTCAGGGCAATGTGGCCCTTGATGTTGCGAGAGTGTTGCTATCTGATGTAGATGTCCTACGGAAAACCGACATGTCGGAGCATGCTCTTGAGGAACTTACAAAAAGCAGAGTGAAAAGGGTGAGAGTGGTTGGACGTCGTGGACCGATGCAGGTAAGCCTTGCTTTGAGCTGCTATTATCCGGGACTCTGTGGCTAACATGCGGATATAGGCCGCTTTCACTATTAAAGAAGTTCGAGAGCTTATGCAGTTACCTTCAGTTGGATTTGAACCTATACCCAGTAACCTACTTCCTCCCGATTCGATAATATCTGGGCTTCCCAGAGCGAATAAACGAATCACCCAACTCCTTGCCAAAGGCTCACTAACCAGCCTTGACAGCTCGGCCAAAAAGTGGTCTCTTGATTTCCTCCTTTCTCCTCGTTCATTCCACTCTTCTTCAGAACATCCCGGCCGTTTGTCACATATTACATTCAGCCGTAACCAGCTTGATCCCGCCGACCCTTACTCACCCTCGGCATCTATTTCGCCCCATTTGGCGGATGATGGCAAGGTAGCTCATATAGATATATCGGCGAGCCTATGCTTCAGAAGTATAGGGTACAAATCATGCCCGCTTCCAGGGCTCAACGAGCTTGCCGTTCCGTTTGATGCTTCCCGTGGCTTGATACCAAATGATGGCCAGGGAAGGGTTTTGAATACTATCCCTTCAGTCAGTGAGGGTGATATCATCCCTACCCATGTGCCCGGTGTGTATTGTGCAGGATGGGTCAAGCGAGGTCCCACAGGAGTCATTGCTTCAACTATGACAGATGCGTTTGCGACGGCTGATGCCATTGCGGCTGACTGGGAGGTACATCGTGATCGGGGAAGTAATAAGATGGAATTCCTCAATTCAAGATCTGGAGAGGAGAGTACGGGTCTGGGATGGGATGGCGTCCGCCCAGATGCCGAGAAGAGAGGACTACGGCCAACCAACTGGAAAGACTGGGAGGAGATAGATCGGGCAGAAAAAGAGCGTGGACAGACCAAGGGTAAACCTAGAGAGAAGTTTGCGCAGGTCAATGATATGCTAGGAGTTTTAGCATAGAAAAAGTATGTATAGATGAATATGTAAGATATGTAATGTACAACGCCCCTAGACTTAGTCAGTGGACTACCGAGGTACCAACTCCATCAAACCAGAAAACCCCAGAAGATAATAATACAGTATTATGAAGGTACACCTTCATAATCCCACCCATCAATGACTCTCCGTCTCCTTGAATTTCGCCGATTCGCATTGCACTTGACAAATAAAGTCAAGGCAGCTACGATTAGGACGATAATAGCAGCAATGGTTGGCACGAGAATGGCCCTCCTTTCAATCTCGTTATTATCCAGCTCATATGGGCACTGCGCCCTGGGGCCATGAGTAACCCAGCAGGTAGGTACGTCAGCAGAGTTGAAATCTATCCAGAGTACCTCAGTGCTGTTATTATCTTCAACATCGGGTGAAATTATTGCAGTGCTATTGGACTCCGAGTCAAGCTTTGCATAGAGATAGGTGTTCTCTAGTGCTGTCCTTGGGACGGAAAACAAGGTGTTATCAGGGCAAGCTTTTTCGGCATTGAAGTAGGTTGTAGCATGCTCGGAAATAACCCATTCGTATGGTAAATTTCCAACCCGACAGGCGACACGATATACATCATTACAATCATGAGCATGCCATCTGCCTGATGATACTGCATGCATGGCTGCACAACGGAATGAATCTTTTGTTTTCGGGGTGGATGCCCGAGTGGAATTGCGAGGCTCATCTTTTGCCCAAGACCACGTAGTGGAAAATGAGACGTTCTGGTAAGGACTGATATCAGTATCCGCTGTCACATTGAAAAGTGTATGGTTAACAATCGCTGAGATTCCACAAGATGCCAGCTGACGGGTCAATCGTGACAGCTCATTGGATGTGTTGCGGGAAGGAAGTACTGCCACTGCCCAGGGGCGCTCAATCTCTGATAGGGTTGTGGTATCTGCGTCATAGAGGCACCCTTTGGTGAGATCAGATGCTGAAGTAAATCCCACGTCTATACGAGATTCAAGTGAGCCTTGTGGAAAGACTAAATCGTCACCTGTGAAGTTGTAAGATGACATCTGAGGGTCGATGGTACCCCAGCCCATAACGAGTCTTGTGGCTTGAGATAGAACAGCATACCCTGTGCATGGCCACCCGGTAGATGTGACGAGATGGTTTTTACCATCTACGGTGGTTTTTAAATATTCGGGGATTGGCTGATACGGGGGGCGGACGGAGAGCCAGGATTCGCGGAGATTCTGACGATTTTCCATCAATTGTTTGGGGCTGTAGATGGATCTGCCCAGCGCCTCCCCCATGATTTTGCCAAATAATAGTGGCGGAGGAGGAAGGTCTTCCAAGCTAGGCATTCCGGAAGGCACTTCCGGGGAATCCGGAGAAGCAGAAGCATGCACGTTTATGATCAAAAACATCATGTCGGCATTTAGGGTATTCTCAGTCGTCTTAAAATAGTCCTTGAGGATATCAGAAAGCGTTGAAATGCTGAGTGACTTTGCACATGAATACGGCCCTATGTGGTATAGTGCGTCTCTTTTCCTGATGCTGGCAGTTATTGAGGTTGTAGTGGGAGCAGCGGATGATGCGCTTGAAGTTTTGTCTTGTGGCGACATACTTGATGTACTTGGAGTTGAATCGGTGCCCATAGTGTCTATCGGACAGAGGCTCCATAGTCTTTCCCTAGGAGACCAGTATACGTCCACATATAGACGCCTATAGCCAACTGACAGAAGGTTGGACACGCATTTCTTTGTCGGATTCTCCTCGTATCGCCCATCGCCAAAACAGGCCGCTGAGAGCGACACTGCAGGGACTGTCACATGGTCAAGGGGTATCTGGAGCGAAGCATCTCTTTGAGACTGTAAACAGGACAGCTATTAGCAGAGTCCTTTACACATCGACAGCCGGCATCCCTGACGTACCAATTCAACGGTGTTCCATGGCGGGTAAAGGGAAGCGCTTTTGTCAGGGTCGAAGTCCCGCATGAGCCGCTCTCGGACCAGCTCAACTCGTCAGCCAGTCTAGACGCCAATTGACCATTGTAGGCTCTTGAAGCCGCACTCTGTCGTCGCCGTCGCCGTCGATCTGCCTGTCGTTGATGCCTGCTGGCGTTGTTCCAGTCGCGGCCCTTTCGGCGTTTTCTTCACCTTTTCGGCGCAAGCGCGATAGTATAGTTATCACGTGATGTTTAGCTTATCTAATCAGCGATCTGGACACTGTTGAACTTCCCAAGTGTTTTTTCGCCCGCAGACATCCATCGCCCATCCGACCAACGAGACAACGCTCTGTGACACTCTGGCTTCATTCGCTTGCTTGTTTTTGGGGAGTACATAAGTCGAGGACACCGTCGCCATGGCCGCCCCGGGTCCAACTCCGGAACAGATTGCGATGATGCAGCAGCAGATGGCTGCGGAGGCGCAAAGGCGTGGAATGACAGTCGAGGAGTTTGGCAAGATGCAGCGAGAACAGATCGCGGCAGAGGCTGCTAGACAAGGCCTTACTACCGAGCAGTTTATCCATAGACTGAAGGCTCAGGCCTTACGACAGCACCAGATGCAGCAGCAGCAACAACAGCAGCAGCAGCAGCAGCAGCAACACGGGGAGGGACAGCCGGGCCAGCAAGGACAACACCAGCACCAGCACCAGCACCAGCACCCTCAACAGCAGCAGCAGCAACATCAAGTGCCTGTCAACTCTAACGCCCCACCAGATCCAAAGGGAATAGCAGTTGCGCAGTTCTTGAGGTCACAGAACCTGAAGCCGAGAGTCTGCATCTTGGATGGCCGAAGAAAGGAGTTGTTCAAGGGTAGGTTCATTCAAATGTTATATACGAGTAATATATCTGGTTTATACTAACGACTCATAGTTAAACGAGCATTGCGAGCACTTCAGTCTCCTGCCTATGCCAAAGCCTCCGCTAAGCCCAAATCCAACCTGCCACCGGTCACTGATCTAGCATCTGCCGAAAACGCATTTAGGCTTCTACCAATGTCCCTTCTGGCCTTGAAGGTGACCAAGATCGATCCCCATGAAGGTCATAACCACGCAAAACCACCATCTAAGAAAGGTAGAGTCAAGGGCCTGTGGACCGTTCGCATACAACAGCATCAAGACACCGATCCCATGTCCCACTATGTCTGGCTATACGAAGGGCCTCAGTGGAAACAGAAGGCAATGGCTGCTGGAGTATTGGCTGCCATCATGGCTGTTGTCATGTTTCCTTTGTGGCCCATCATGCTTAGACAGGGTGTCTGGTATCTCAGTGTTGGCATGATGGGATTGCTCTGTCTGTTCTTCGCCATGGCCATCTTCCGTCTTATTCTATTCGCAGTCACATTCTTCGTTGCTTCACCCGGACTATGGCTATTCCCGAACCTATTTGAAGATGTTGGATTCTTTGAGAGTTTCGTACCCGTATGGGGTTGGCAAGAGGTACGTTAATCTTTACCCTACCTGTTCAAAGTCGTTTATCCTTTGGCATGCAAGGGCCATGGACTAATCTCGTATTTACATATAGACTAAGAAGAAGAAGAGGTCTAAGAAGACTGATGGCTCATCGTCAAAGCCGTCAAAGCCCAAGATTTCAAAATCCACAGCTGCTCCCCCCACGGCTACTGAAAAAGCTCCTGCTGCGGATCAACCCGTCACCGCGCCAGACGTGTCTAATGAAAAGGCAAATCAGAACAAATCTTCTGAGCAGTCATCCGGTAAACAGGCCTTTGCAGCTAGTGTAGAGGATGCTGAAGAAGAGTAGTCTCGAGGTGGTACGGCCAAAATCCAATTAAGACCCTTTTTCTATATACCCCACGCCTCCTATCTATTTATCTTTAGCCGATTCCCATTTTACCTTTATTGCTTCAACTTGTACCCCTGACCACCTGACTTTGGCCTCTTCTATCTTCCGACTTCTTATTCCCCTTTCCTTCCTCAACCCCTTTTTACTCTTCATCTTACTCTTCATCTTTTCTCAAGGGCTTGGTTTATATATCACGATGTATGAATAATTACCCTAAAATAAATCTGGCATTAACTTTACCCCTGTGATATTATTACATGCAAAACTGTATTATATTATATTATAGCACTTTAGCATTCATGAGCCATCAGGATCTAATAACTGTTGTCATGGGGTTGATAATAAATATGTTATTATTTTATAACACAGATCAATTTACACAATGCTATGGATATTGAATGCAAAACCCAGGGGGGAAAGGGAAGAAAAGGAGTGTAAAAGGAAACCAAAGTGCCAAAGTGTCAAAGTGCTTGAATAAATATTAGAAATGAACAAACATAAGAAACCATGAATTTTGGATAGAAGCAGTGAAGCCAGCTCCAGCTTCTCCTGTGACCCATTTTGGTAATATCATAATCCTAGTATATGTATCCAAGGAAAAAGAAAAGAGGATACAAGAGGTTGAAAGGCATATATAGAGAGAATGTATCTATATAGAATAAGAAATAGATGAGAAAAAGAAAATACAAGGGAAGCAATGAAATGATGCTTGGGCGATATCGGATATCGGTGTGGTTGAGTTGATATAAAAGTCGAAAAAGAGAGGTAAGAGAATGGACTCGGGGTTCCCGGTGGCGCAGTTTTCAGCGGAATCACTTCCCCGTAGTAACGTACAGGTGGAATACTGATAGACGTCAGGGTATATAGTTCAATGTATGAGTTATATGGTACACGCATGCAGTTATATGTCCAATCCAGATAGCACGTTGGTGAGGCACGCACTTGAATCCTGGGGAAGATAAACGCATCGAGGGTATCATGGGCGGCATATTGGCTGAGAATTCTCGATAAGAATATGGTTGAACCCATGACTCGATAGGAGAAAGAAATGCAATGCTTTCAAGGAATAAAAGAACGGAGATAAATGCAAAGTGAGAAAAGGAAGGCATAGGTATGCATTACAGTCTGAATAGGATGGTCTTTTTTTTTTTTTTTTTTTTTTTTTCATTCTTTTTTTTTTCTTTTTGTTTTCCCCTTCCTTTTTGCTCTTTTTGTTTTGTTTTAACAAGTTGACCGTATGTGTGCAGAAGAGAATTATCATTTGTCTGCCGAGACATTAATCGGCGCTTTTTTGTGGTAGCCATTGGCAGCCAACAATGCTCAGTCGTTTTGACTCGTACGGAGGCAACGCCTCGGGAATAGCAATTGATGGTACTTCTGGTAGAGGGCAGGTTGGAGGAGGAGCTGGAGGAGGCCCATGTGGAATTTGAGGCATGCTTTTCCGGCTTGAGAGGGAGTTCAAAGATGATCTCCTGCTATTGCAAGACTTTGCAGTATTAGACCGCTGGCGTCCAATTGAGTCCTGGTTGAGTTCCGAACTGGGACTTGGATGGCGGGAATTCCGGCAAACCTTGATTCTAGGTTCGCTATAAGCCCTTGGGCCTAGGCTTTGCGGCCTTGGGCGGCTGCGTGAATTGCTTATTGTATTGTACCCCGGAGACAGGCCGGGGATATCCAACGGTTCATCCCTGAGAGTAGAGAGGGCAGGTCGGTATTCAGAGATAGGTCGATTGAAACATTGCATACCATCAGAGGACGAATACCTTCTTGTCTGATGTGTGCGTCTAAGGGGCGAAATAGGTATTAATGAGGGTATATCATCATCCAGCTCTTGTGTCTCACTACTATCGGTTCCAGCGGTACTGTAAGCCCCCTCAGAATCAAGTAGATCACTACTAGCACTTCCCCTTCTTCGTGGAGGTGATCCGTGAGTGGAATTGATTTTTGTGGCAATATTGGGCCCCATATTGGGCCCATGGAACATCTCGGAAGCTGGAATTACATGTAAAACAGGACTTTGACATGGTCCACTCTCAACCGGGAAAGATATTGTCTTGGGGCTCATTGCTATCGAGTTTCGTTTGTTGACAATCGGGTGGCTGAAGTTCGGGGTGCAAACAAGGTGGGTTTCTGCGCGGAGCGGTGGCAGCGGTGTCTCGGTGATAAAATCCTCTGAATTACCACAGGCCCTGATAAAAGACTTGCGTCTAAACCCCAAGTCGGTGCTTGCAATCCGACGAGGACTGCGAGAGGTTCCGGGTGATTCCCTACATGGGCTTTTTGGTGTTGGAGTCTTCACTGTAACAGATGAAGACGAGGATTGAGAACTAGGCATTGTTCGAGTTCCAATAGAAACGCAAGATAGTCTCGAATTGCGTCTGAGGTTGTCTAGTTCCACAACACTTGCCAAAGACGATGGGGAGGATCTCTCGGCTGGTTGTTGCACATATCTCTGGCTTTCTCTTCTGGTCAAACCAGGTACAGATACCTGCTCATCCCTTACACTTGGTGTAGATGACAAGGCCTGGTCTACGCTGCCTTTCCGAACGACTCCCTTGACGGTTTCGGATGTCAATGGCGAGGGTTGCAGCTGATTGACTCCAAGCGTTTCAGGAGGATAGTCTTTACCTCCAAGGATTTGTATTGCACGCCGGACAAAAGTAAGCCAGGACGTCAGTTCTTCAGCGCTATCCAGAATAAGTAAGAAACTGCTCGTCGGTTTCTGTGGCTCCGCATTGCTGGTGCGCCTAAATCGGTCTAATATTGTCTTCTTCGGCTCTAGGCTTGGTTCAACATCATCTTGGGTCTGGGAGATCTGTAAAACCCAATGTCTGCCAGGAATTGCATCGCATGCAAACGCAACTGAATCCCCTCCTAGTGCAAGAACTTCCTCAGGGAGTCGATCAAAGTTTCCGTCGATACCATATTGAAGTAGATGCCCGCTTGTCGCCAATATGAATATCTTCTGGGACCATTTGAGACCACACGAGAAGCTAGACTGGCTCCTGGACTGCGATTTTCTTCCTTTCTTCCAGGTTTTGGATTTGATAACACCCTTGTGCCCAATTCCGTCCATATTGCTATCACCATCCATTGTTTTGTCACGAGAGTGGCTGGCCTTTAGGTCTCGACGCATCTTACGGCGCAGTATTTCATCAGTGGACAGGATAGGGCACGGCAAGGTGGCATGTTTCACAGCCTTGGGATACGCCATAAAAAAAGGCGGAGGGTCCCATGCTGATAAAGCTCCTGGCTCCTCAACAGCGGCTGACATGTCGTCATTGGTAATGGGGAATGGTGTTGATGATGTGACTGATATCGGCGTGACATTCGCGTTATGAAGTGGTGAAGCTATTCCTGAAGGATGGCTGGCGATACTGTGTTCTTCAGGAGCTATCGTGGCGGATAACAGAGGATCTCTACCAGGGATGTACGGTTGTGATTTTGACCTCGTAAACCATTTCCTAATAGCGAATCCGTGCTGTTTGGGACGAAGAGGAACTCGATTTCCCGACTCCTCGTTATCAAGCTCCTCTGGGAGAGGGGGCTTAACACGGACAGTTGAGCTCCTGCTTGCTGTTTGGATTGGGGGAAGCCGCACTCCCCTTCGAGAACCGACGGTTGAAGGAGGTTGAGCATCCATTTGTCAATGTATGTTTGAATGTCGTGTTGAAATGCCCTCGTCAAGTATAGTCACGCATTGCCTATACAGAACTATGTGTGATTGTCAATTTAGAAGCTCCATCGACAACACGCACAGTCTATAAACAGGGCTATGCATGCATTGCCAGGAGATGAACCAAGACACTTCGCTGATACGAGAATATCAGTAGATGGGAAAAGGAGGGCTCGACGTAACACTGAATATCCAGGGGGCTCGATCTCGCCGTAGAAGCAGAGGGGCAAGCGAGAATGTACGTGATAAGTAACGCTTGTATGACAAGGTTAAACGGCCATCGAGACAAGAAAGGATACGTTCGGGCTATGAGTTGAAAGAGGAGGGTGGTGTTTTGATGATTGAAAGGAGAACAAGATCCCTGACAATGAGAAGCTTGACTCTTTGTGCATACCCAGGAGTAATCCAAATGCAAGTAACAAGGAGGAAAACTCCTTCACCCAGTTAACTACGTTGTAGACAACTGGGCTTTGTTGATCAGATGGTTAGCGGGTGAAGCTGCAAAAGGAATTCTCCTCTTTTTTAGTTGGTCCACATCTCCGATTCGCACGGTCGTCGAGCTTGAAAGAAAAGGGTCCATTACAGCCAGCCGTTAAGGGGGCAAAACCGGAGTTGCGAGATATTCCCTGCGGCCAGCCCCGAGATTGACTTTTTGTGAGTGTGACAGCCAAGTCAACTGCACGGCTTTTGGCGCCCATCACCTCGCACACACCTGGAGGTTTTGGGCATCACACGGCTAACTCGTGCGTCCTGGAGAAACTCCCTGGTGTCTTTCACTGATTCCTGACTGGTCACTAAGCGGCGCTAAGACCAATGCCGTTGGCCTCAGAGACAAGAAAAGCCTGGCTTGGAGAAAGGCTCTCCTTTCGACCTTACAATTTCCGTCAGACCGAACGTCAAGCAAAGCCGCATGCAGGGCGAGAGCCGACAAGGTAGGAACCAACTCCGTAGAGCCGTTAAAATCCAAAACCTCGGTGCCCATATATTGGGGGAGACGACAACGATGGAAATGCTGGATGGAATAATATAGGCCGGCCACGCAGCAGTCACACTTTTCGTACCCCTTGGTAGCAGCGAGAGCCGCGTGTACTCCGTAAGTCCCACTATTATCCAGGTGGCCCTTCATAATCGCAGCATACTTTCGAGTAAGTACGTGCACAGGAGTGATCCTTTGGTGCCCTGCACGACCGTGCGAATGTCCATTTTAGAGGATACAGAGTAAAGAGGCTGGAACTAGACGGGTAAAGGGACGGATTATCAAGTCGAGGCTTTGGAAGGCTTG